TAAATGCCACAATCTATTGGCGCGTTTAGATAAGCCGTTTTGACATCCATTTGGTGCGTGATCATGTCATTCTGAACTGCTTGCTGCATTACACTCTTTTTTTTTATATAAGAATATATTTTATAAGAATATCGAGGCTGAAATTTGCGAAATTTTAAGAATATTTTAAGAATAAAGCCGAGGCTGAGATTTTGAAAAGGATAGATATAATTTTGTGTGTTGAAACATCTGTAAATACAATACAATTTTATGTTTTTAACTTAACCGTATAAAATTATTCCTTTCTCTGAACGGCGAAACTAGCCAACAAAACGAAAAAACCTACATTAGCTATAGCAAAATGTTCAACGCTAATGACAGTTCGATGAACGGTACATGTAATACATATGCATATACCCCAATAAATTCTAAAACGGAAATGTCATAAGCTATAATTTAAGAATAATACAAGAATATTTTCAGCCTAAAATCGGCAGAAAAATAAGAATATTCAGCCTGGACCGGAAAAACAACATTCTTATAAAAAAAAAAAAAGAGTGTAGTAACATTCGAACAGAACTCATGCGAGCTGTAGGTGCAAAAGTTTCTTGTTAATCTATTTCGGCAATTTGCGAGTAACCTTTGGCTACGTATCGCGCTTTGTGGGTTTCTTCTCCCTCGGGACCGGTTTTAACCCCGAAAACCCATTTTCACCCCACTATTTGTCTACCCTCTGGTGGCGTGACCAATTCAAACGTGTCATTGTCATAGAGATTTGTCATCTCATCGTGCATGGCTTTTTGCCATTTGGTGGCCTCGTTTGATTTTAAGGCGTCATCGTAAGTCGTTGGTATGTTGGCAACTCGGTAACAGTAATCCACGGTGTAGTTTGCATCGTCTTCTAAGCCACCGCCTAAAACATATCCGTCTAGGTGCCTAGGTTTGGTGTGAATTCGTTTGGGGTAACGACTGTCTTCCCCCCTGTTTTCATTCTCACCCACGTTTCTGTCTTCAGTCGTTTGTTCGTCACTTACATCACTGTCGACAGTTGTCGGTGGGGTTGATAACACAATCTCATCATCTTCTATTTTGGGCACGCAAACATTTTGTTCTAGAAATTTTACACACCTCACCCTTTCCACCTTACTTACTTCGGGGTAATAAATGAGATATGCCGGACTTTCCTTGTAGTAGTCTACAAAAACACCCATGTTACTTCGCGCTTCTAACTTATTCGCGTTCTGAACATAGGCGTAGCAGGTTGAACCAAAAATGCGCATATTACTCAAGTCTGGCCTCTTTCCAATTAGAGCCTCGTACGGAGTTTTGCCTAGTCTCGAATTAAAACACCGGTTTTTTGATATAGGCGGCAGTCATGTCGGCATACGCCCAAAAACGTTTAGGCAATTCCGACTCTAGCAAGAGACATCAGGCCATTTCGAACAGACTTCGCCACATTCTCTCAACCGTTCCGTTTTGGTGAGGGGAATACGGCGCGCTTGTTTCATGTCTTATAAGGTTCTTACGAAGTAAAGACTCGAAATTCCTGCTCTTAAATTCCGTTCCGTTATCCGTCCTGATGCGTTTAATTTTACCGAACGGGGCGATGTCCGCAAGGAACTTCTGCGTAGCTTCTAGTGTATCACTCTTTTGTTTCAGAAAATAAACCGTGTTAATACCGGTATAATCGTCCACAAAACACAATGCGTATTTGAAACCATCTCTTGCTACTGGATCGATTGGACCGGCCAAGTCACAATGAACAAATTCTAAAGGACTTTTCGCTCTTTCATCCGGTTTCCGGCTCCGGGTTTGGCACATTTTCCCTTGTGTGCAAATAGCGCACCCACATTGTTGCTCATCAGCAATTTTTCATACCGTCAACTACAGTTTGTAATTTTCGCAGATCCTGGAAATTACAGTGCCCCATAATTTTGTGCCATTCTATTAAAGAGCTCGCGTTATTCTTTGAAGATGAAATACTATTTAGATAGTACAAACGCCCTTTTTGTTCTATCCCAAACATTGTACCATCGGGTGCCTTAAAATATTTCCTTTCGTTTTCAAGGCTAACACTTGCGCCCTTCGCTATTGCGGCGGAAACTGAAAAGATATTTTGTTTGTACGACGGTATGTACAAAGCATTGTCAAGAACCACATCCCTTAACTTTCCATTAATGTCATACAACTTAACTCTGGCATTTCCCCTGCCCAAACACACGTTTGCCTTACTACCGTCAGCTAATTCAATGAAGTGGCTACTAGCATTAAATTTGTCATCAAAATCTAGGAATTTCTCGCGATCTACAATTATGTGGCTAGTTGCCCCAGAATCTAATAGTAGATTTGGGGTTGTCTTACCTCTAGTACTTAATTCCTGTTCATTAAAAGTAAATACAAAACTATGTGAACTAGTAATGTTCTCCTCGTTTTCTGCTGACTTCTTTGCTGTGTCTTTGGCAGGCTTCAGTTTTCTACAGTCCCTTGTACTGTGTGAGGAGTTCTTGCATTTGTGACACCACTTTGGCTCTTTGGGGAAGCAGTCCTTGCTTTTATGCCCCTTCTTGCCGCATTTAAAGTAATTTCCTTGGAACCCTTGCTTTGTGGCCATCACATTGTCACTCCCGCCGTTATCTGGGGTTCTATTGCAGCTCTTCTCCGTCTCCTCGCGGTTTCTGAGAGCTGTCTTGAATTCACTGAATGTCATCTGCGTTTCTCTCTGGGTCACCACGGTCGCAAACGTTTTACAGGCACTGGGTAGTCCTTTTAGGGCCATGGCTACGAGCAATCCATCGCTGATCACTTCGTCTGCTGCTTTCAGTGCCGTTGCAGCTTTTTCGGCTCGCAGGATATAGTCTGTCGTAGACTCTCCTTCTTTCATCTCTAGTGAAGTGAGTTCAGTGTAAAGCGCAATGATGCGCGGTTTGCCCTTTCCTTGATAATGTTCTCGCAGGACTTGTAGGGCTTTTCTTCCATCATCCTTCGCCTCTCGGATCACGAGGACCAAACTTCTATCGTCCAAACATTGGACAAGCTCGGCAAAGGCATTTGCCAGCATTCCCGCATCAGGGGCTTCCTTCTCGCTCTCTACTCGCACTACTACCTCATGCAACTTCTGGAGGCGCATGTAGCCCAAGAACTTCACCTCCCAGAGTTTCGTAGTTGTTTTCATCCCTGTCAAACATGAGTGTTCTCCTGGGCCCATAACCTGTTAGGCTGAGCGATGCCGCCGTAGTTTTCACACAAGATAACGTACCACCCAAGTAGAAGTAACAACACTGATTTTATTTGTCTTGGTAAATCATATTATACACATTATTATTAAGGCGTTTCTTAAACGGATCTACGTAGCAAACCAAAAGAACATTTTCGGCACATAACACTCAAGCGATAATGAAAGCGGCGGATTACACTGCGGTTTATACTAAGACTATTAAATATAATGGTGATAAGATAATTGTGATATCAGAGCACGTATTCTAACTACTGTTCATTATTCATTTTTAAATATTTCTCCGTTTCTGATCAGCTAAAATGTAAGTGCGCAGACTCACTCATCTGGTTTAATCTTTGACAGATATAATCAGTTTGAATGACATAAGTGCACAGACTTACTCATCTAGTCCCTTTAAGAGACAGGAGAATTGTCTCGTGACTTGGATTGGTAGTCATGACGGACTGAATTGAAAGCCACCACTTTTCAGTTCAATGAAAACTCCTACTCTTTTCCTGATTTCAGGTTGATCCCAGTTGGTGAATGATTGAAATCTTCTCGCAAAGGGTAAGCGCTCAATTGATAAACCTGTTCAAATTTAGAGGATTTTTAAACTAAATCATAAAGTCCATTTCAGCAAATGTGACTTGACTATCAGCTTACAGTTCGTGGATTTTGGAATGATCTGACCTTAAGCGGGCAAATATTCTAGAGGCTACATAAAAAACCTTATTACAACCGATGCTATCCCAATTTTTGAGTGTCTTTTGTGAGTAGCAATTACTATGGCCATCCATATTAGAGACCTCCGGGTCCCCTTTCTTTTAGCATGCACGGTTTAAAACTGTGCTTTGGTTTGTCGCTTCTCATGTGCTTGGCTGATAGATTACACCCAGGTCATAGATTGCTCTCTTAAATCGGACTACATACGTGAATTATAAAACAAACTGACAGCGAAATCGAACATTTTTTGAGCAATTATGTCTATGACGGCGAGAGACGGAGGTGGGGACATTTATCTGACCAATGCTCCAGTAGAGTGCTTGGAAATGCCCTGTCGTTCATGTTTACTGTATAGCGTGTAATGTTCAAAACTTATGGTTCATGCTTATCTACTTGGGAGGGCAAACGTTGCATTACGGAAACAGATGCATACCCTAACATCTTGACCCCATTCACCATCATTTCCGTGGCATCATAATAGTATGGCTGGTTTGTTCAAATTTGGTGCACTAGCCTGTTCACGGAGCCTCTATTTCTTCTAAGTCCGTCGAGCGCGCGTGTTAAAACACAAAAACCGAGGGGGGTTTATTGACTGCCAGCGCAAGGAGGTTATTTTTCTATCTAGGGCTTCGCGCGCGCTCGCCGATGTTTTCGAAAAGAACGAAAAGAAAACTAAAACAACGTCTGTGTACAAGCTATCGCCTCACCGATTTTTTGTGCGAAATTTCTCGGAATTCTATGTGCACCTTACAGAAACTGAGAGAAACCCAAGCCACGTAGACGTAAAGTATACAGTAAAAACCCGAGACTAAGAACTTGGTTTTTAAGAACTTGTAAGGTTAAAATTTGCCAGTTAGGCCCGCCTCTGCACAACAACGCCTAAAATTTGACACAGGTCGTATGTGTAATCATATGATGACGGGTGAAATTAGGTAATCATTTCACGCGCGTTTTGTCCAAATACTCGGGAAATATGGCGCTAATTAAAGTACAAGGTGCTTGTTTTAAGCTATTAACCTACAATGTAGATTCAAAACGGTGAGTTGCTGTTGTTCTTTATTTCAGTTTCATTTCGTACACTGAAAAGGTACAAGAGAAAGACCGCGAGGAAGGATTTCTAATGGCATCTGCAAGGCCGAATGATTCTCATCACATTTCTAGCTATTATCAGGTATATTCACTGTTGTATCCCTCAGCAACTCCAATCTGTATTGCTATACTTTAAGTTAGTTGGTTAGGTGGTAGACTGCAAGCATCTCCCTTTTTAATACTTTAAGTTAGTTGGTTAGGTGGTAGACTGCAAGCATCTCCCTTTTTAATGCGCTGCCTGTGGCACCCAATTAAGGAATGAGAGTCCTCCGTCGAAAAAAAAAAAAAACGGTGGACGGCTCACCCAGATTATATTAATTTTTTTAGAAACACGTTGTTGTGTATTCGGGTTCGAAGTACTACTATACAGTACAAACTGGATCAGGTGCTTTACACAACTCCTTTATTACAACAAAATCAGCTATTCATATGTACAATAATCTCTCACTATAATTTGCGGTTAGGGTGTGGTAACTAATAATTACTGGTTATCTAATGATTATCGCATTCCGCGGATAACAAGAATACAGAAACACTACACACTTCAGAGGGGCTACTCGTCTTTCTTTCTAAAGTGTTGCTTTTGTACATGTTCCCTTTCAGTTGTTATTCATTAGAGAGATTAAGAATCACATAAAACGGCAGACGTGAATTTATACCTCGTGACCAAGTTTTCCCCTTATTTTCAGTTTACTCTCTACTGCTTCTACACAAAAATAAGTAGTTTTTATGCCAGTTTTAACCATAGGAATCGTTCGGGGCTGTTTTTATCCGCTTATTTTCTATTCTGAGAAATTCTCAACTTTAGTCTGACATTTGCCTTTTTCGGTAAACGTGAATCTTAGGCCTCGGACGTACAAGGGGGGTGAGGGGGGGGGGGCTCTGAGTTTTTTCCTAGAGGATAAAACATCAGTACGTTTTCAGTAGCTGTTCATTCATCCCTCGCGCACATTTTGAGACAAGTTTAGTGATAGTTGCTATGGTTACGAGATATGACGTCAAAAGTAGCAGGTGGTCAAGCGAATTTTGGGTGAAAATACATGTTTTGTCAACTTCTTTCAAAAATAAAAGTGAATCTTGTGGCTAAAATCATTCAACGTGCTTATTTATGTGTTATTTGTCATGTAAAGCACAAAAAATTACGATTTCTCGCGGTTTTAACCTGATTTCTAATTCTTCGTAAAATTCAAGATGGCTGCCAAGATGGCGTCCATTATTGGTGACGTCACAGGCCTCCAGCAGCGCCACCACCCCTAAAATATACCTCTTCTAAGATCTTGTTAAGAATATCAAAGGCTTTCCACTAAAGGTAAAATCGTTTTAAAATACTGCAACATATCCGGGGAGGGGTTCCATCCACCCCCCTCCCCCTTGTACCACAGTGGGGGTATGAAATTGCGTGTACTTCTGAGGGTTAATTTATCTTTTTTCTTATCCATTACTTGCCATTCAGTAATTTTGCAGTGAGCTACTCCTTTTTTCATAACTCGTGCCCTAAATACCTTTTAAATGAAGTTATGCGTTTGTTTACACTTCCTATTCTCGCTGAAAAAAGTGGTTTGTCTGTTTTTTCAAAAAAATTTTAAGCTGTTGTAACGTTTATAATTTGTGGTGTATGCACTGTACATCACCTGAAGACGTACCTCACATTTTGTGAAGGTTAAAGAGTTATAGTTGTTAGTATCGAAATAGGATATTAGTATCGAAAAGTTAGTATCGAAAAAGGATATTGCTTTCTTATGTCTGTCCTCAAAGAAAGTAAACACCTTACGGTAAATTTTCTATCAGATTGTTGTAAGGAGTAAATGTAAAGGCTACAAATACTACCGAAACAGGTAGACAGCTGATTTGGCGCCAGACGTTAACGATTCGAGTCACGTGGCTTTGTTTGTCAAGCGAAAAAGGTAAACTCATGGGGTAACATTCCTGAGCGTTTGATAGGCCAAAGATAGGCCAAGTCAAGTAAAATGCGTAATGGTGTTCTCTGTCAACAAAAAGATTATATTTTCGTTCGTGGAAAGTCAATCGATGAAAGTCCTTTCGGTTTCAGCCTTTCAGCGCTACAGAACGATTTTCGTATGACCATGAAATGAAAACGCTCGAACGAAACAGAAACAACAAGCGAACGGAATTAAAGCGATTTGATTGGTTTATCGAGGGGATAGTAAAGCGCGTGGATCTTGGTTGGTTAAGCGGACGCTCGGGTGAAAAACTTCATGCCCGAGAACTAGAAATAAATCGATACTTCGCTTTGACGTCATGCTGCAACAAGATTGGCCAATCGAACAATGCCTTCTCCATATTAGGGTTTTCTTCCATGTTTTGATCTTTTCATCCACTCGCTGATAAAACAAATGTCGAACATTTGCCGAAACCATTTTTCAAGGTCATACGAAAATCGCTCTATGAAAACTTTGACCCCTCTGACGCGTGTAAAACCACGCCATTAATGCGAAAAGAATGTGACGTAGCCTGTAGCAGCGTTGTCTTCCTCAGAAGACAAGTTGAGCTATTAGGCGTTAAAATAATAGAGTTATTTCTGCGTAGCGTCCTTTGCTGTCTTCAATTTTTATAGCGACGGAACGAAAATTTGAAGCAATTGCCAAAGGAAGAAGTAAGGTTTATACCATATCCTTTTCAGTTTTTTTCAATTTTTTTTTCGCGTTGTATATGTAATAACCTGTGATCTGGCATCCTCCTTCCCTTTCTCTTTAATAAAAGGCGAAAAGAAATTTCTCTTTTTTTCCTCGCAGGTTACGTTGTAAACAGCCCCATTCTTCATCCAACATCCAACTAAGATCCATTTCTTTGCTCAATTTTTTCACGGGATCATTTGCGGTCCATGTTGGGGATCATTTACTGTCGAGTATCATTTGCGGTCCGTTCTGGGGATCATTTGCGGTCAGGGAGCCGGATCATTTGCGGTTGGGGATCATTAAGGACCCTCCTAAAGTTGAATTCCAAGCGACCCTATCCCATTTCAGAACAAATATATATATAATTTCGTCGTTACTTGTTTCCGTTCTCCATAAAACACGATATTAGGCAGTTTCATTTCATAGTCGTGCAAAACCGGCAAAGAAATGTAATGTGATGCACGCGCGAAGTTGTTGTTTTGCTTATTAATACAGTTTTTTACGTTCTCGTTGCGATCGCATTGTTGGGTCGTTAAGTCCCTATTGACGCGGTTGACGTAAACAGTCAAAATTGACAAATAATAATAATAATATAATAATAATAATAATAATAATATTTATAGAGGGAGCCCAACTCGCCAAGGCGGTTTTCAGTGGGGCTCTCATAAAAATCAAATCACAGGATATACCAGGAGCTGGTATACCGGAATGATGTATTGAAGACAATGCTTAAAGGCTCCACTTACCCGTCTCTCCCCAGCTTCCCCGTGGGTCTCGCGCAAGTTTTCTGGATGCGCTTTCCGCACTATCTTGGAGCCTGTAACAGGCTAAATGTGACCACGTGAGTTCACCCTTTTGGTTTTTGCAAACAAAGCCACTTGACCTGAGTCGTTAACGTCTGGCGCCAAAATCAACTGTCAGGGGTGTCTTTCAATTCGCAGTCGACCCAGGCGGTGTGCTTCACGACCCACAAAGGTTCATGGGTAAAACTGTTTATGTGCCTCATTTCAATCGTGACACGGTCGAGTTCGCATCTCGTGAGAGAGAGAAATCAAAACCCGGGATCAAAATACTGCTTCCTTTTCTGAAAAACGTTACGGAGGAGAGCGATTTGGAGAATTTTCAAGGTCTCATACTGGCCATAATGACGTCAAATTACGTCATTGTGTCAATCAAGCTATGCCTCGATGTTAGAAATGACGGGTACATAATCTGGCTGCATCATTGGCGGTTTCGAAGTAATTGAAGTGGGCCTGTGAAGCCCCTCCAACAGCACAAAATAAAAACGTCCGTTCTTAGACTGTTCACAGTCCTCTATTTTTCCGTAAGATCGTCGAGATCGAGCGCGTTGCTTTACGGGCTGCCATCTTGCATGAGTGTCAAAACTACTTAGGGGGCGGGGGGCTGCCAGCCCTCTCGGTACATTTGGAAATCAAGATGGCCGTCATTAACAGTAAGACGCGCTATATCTCAACGATCTCACGAAAAACTAGGGGACTGTGAACAGTCTAGTCCGTTCTCAAAATGTTAAACATCTAAATGATTTTCCAAGTTTTCAGTCCTACTCGCAATAGTACCAAGTAGGTATGCTTAAAAAGGTGTTTAAAGGTACTGTAATTTGTTGTGAAATCATTAATAGACATAGCATTCTTGGATATGATTTTCCATAATTAACTCGACGATGAACAAATTGGCAAACTAAATATAAGCTAAAAACGTTTCATGTACGGCTGTTTAATTAGAGAGTTAACAATTAGAGTAGCAGACGTACAGTAAAGCAGCACATAAACATGTCACTATGAGAAACCACAACCAACCTTTGCAGTAAAGCCCAGGTCAAGCGTACCCCTAAAATTCCATTAATGAATTGAATTCGATGGTGGATGTAGATTTCAGATTCATCTCTTAATTCCTGTGCCGGTGAGGAACAGCGAATTCCCACGCGAGGTAGTTCTGAAATTTCTACCTGCTCAGTTTTCTTGAATTTGATGTAAATGTACGTTAATGTCTTCAAAGCAATGTTATCTATTCAAAGACTGTTCAATCTGACTGACTGCAAAAAGGCATCGTAAAAAAATCAAAGCTAATGCTGCTTGCAGGAATGCAAATTTGAATTTACTACTGGTTGCAGCAACAACTGTTTCATTTTTCAAGTAATCGATGAATTAATGGAATCTGTAGGTGGGCACCCTTGACCTGGCGTGACTCCAAAAGCTGTGTAATCTAACCTTTTATATGTTAGACAGCGGAAATATTCTGCTTACCTCATATTGTTCGTTTTACTCTTTTTATTTCCTTTACATGAACAAAGCTTTTAGATCTAAATGAAAATGCTTCGAACGAGGAAATTTGTCGTGCCTTCCGTGTTAGAGCACTTGAACTTCACCCAGACAAGAACCCAGAGGATAAACTCAGGGCTACCAAAGAAATGCAGCTTCTAAATGAGGCCAAATGTGTTCTCTTGGATCCTAAAGAGCGCCAAAATCTAGATGAAGGATTGGTTGACAACGATGTTTACAAGAGGAACGCCTTACCCCTTTTATGCAGTATTTGTGTGAAAGCAAAATCAAGGGTGGGATCAAAATGCCTCAGGGGAATGGGGCACATAAGTCCTTTGATAGAGGAATTCAATGCAGCCTTAAAAGAGTACGATGGTGGAATTAAGAAATCTCCAGATAGAGAAGAATTTTTAAATGCCCTTGAAGAAGTGCTTAAAAAATTCGTTACCATCGATTTGCCTAGGCTATATCCGTTAATGGAAAATCGAAAAAAGAGACCGAATTCAACAGAGACGGCTTTTCCAGCACCAGCTAACCTTGGAACGTGCTTCTCTGCAAGTCCAATAAACACCCAGAAGTCCTCTGCTCCCTCAGCAAAGGCTGTTGTTAAGATCCTTAACCAATCTCTTGTTCGTCCACCGAAGAAAAAGGTTCCAGCGCATCCACCTGCCACAGAAATTCCAATGTATGACCTTTCAAGTTTGTCTGACAGTGAATTGAACCAAGTTCTTCAATACTTTGGCTTTCAAAATGTAGAGCCCTTTTCTAAAAACTCAGCTATTAAGCAACTGAGTCCAATCATTCCAACATGTGCTGTTGAGTTCAGAAAATGCGGTGGCGACCAAATCGGGTCGAGGTATGTATGTCATCAATGTGGAAGAAGACGTTTTCCCTTTTTTTCCTTTTCAATATCTTTTGGTACATGTTTCTCCTGTAAGAGCACATTTTGCTCGGACTGTCTATCCAACGTTAAGAGAAAAATCGCCACAAGTGGCTCGTACGATTTAAGAACAATGTGTAAAACCTGTCTAACCACTTTCAATTCAAGAGAGGCAGCAACATGGCGGGTACACGGTCAGTTCCTGTTGGCAACAGATAAAAAGTACTTGGAAGCCGTACTAGCGACATACGACTTGTTTAATGAGCTGAATCCATCAGAAATGGTCTTCATTATGCAATCTCGGGCACTCTTTTATTGTAACAAACATGAACGGCTGGTTCGCCATGTCAAAGAAGTACTTCGCACAACTAACCTCTCGAGGGAAAATGCTAAGGAGCTTCAGAAACTGGTTGCTGAGTCCCTTACGAAAATAGCTGATGATGCTGACGACTCCGATTTGTTAAAGAAAGCTGACAAGTATCAGGAGGCGATCCAATATGCTGCGCAGTTTTCCGATGAAAGTGGAAATACGTTCCATGAACTAAAGATAGAGGCAATGAGTGGTCGACTGCGTTGCTTTGAGGTCCATGAAAGAGTCACGAAGGAAAGAATTAGAAAGCTACTGTCACACCTGATTGCAGCCATAAAAGAAGGTTCCTTGGTCAAGATATTCATCCTCCTACAAGACATGGATGAAGATGACAAAGATATGTGTCTACATCGGCTGTCAAAAGAGAAACCAGAGACTTACAGTCAATACGGTATACTGTTGTTACGACTTGCAAAAACGACGTTAACATTCAAGAAGTACCCTACAGGTGCTGTTGGTCAAATGGCGGATATATTGTGGACTGGTTATTCGCTGTTTCTGGGGAATGGTAGCAAAGAACAGATTTTCCACTTCGTAATCCATTTCACATGTCAGTTATTAAAAGGAAGTCACAGTTTACCTCTCGATACATTGCATGAAATTACCCCCACCAACTTTCTGCAGTGTCTTCATCTTGCTGAGGATGACATCCTCGTACCACCAGACATAGAGGCCAGATGCTGGGAAGGCGTTATTGTGGAAGGTGTCGATATGAAGATGTTCCTAAAATACGAATTGGCTGTGAAGAAGCTTATGGAGACCAAGAAATGGCCCCCGGTTAAAGTTGCCTTTTTTTACTATGACCTTATTTTTGCATGTAAGACTGCCCCTCAACTTTTAGTGACATTGATTACTTCTGCGCAGTGGTTTGCAAGGCAAATGTCATTACCCAATTCAGACGATACAGTACAGTATTCGTGTAAAAAAATGATCCTGAGACTCACCAACCTAGCAGCTGCACTGTCCTTCGAGTTTGGCATCCACCCACATCTGCAGTACTATGTGGCAAGAATGGTGTTGGGACTCCAATTTTATGCTTCCTGCAAGGCACCCTTTGGAAGCCAAGACGACGCTACAAACATTGGAGAGCATTTGAACTGGCTGGTCGCTTCTGGGCGTCTTTGTCCATTGCACAAAATGCCAGTTGTTTCACCAACCGAATCTGTTATTTTGCACGTAATGTCAGAAGAACTATACTCTGAGTATCTTTTAACGCTCCAGGATGAACTGCCACTTCAGATGAGACCTGTGTCGGAAGCTATACTGCGCTACCATAATTATGAGAATCAGTTGCTAAAGCGATGTGAGCTACAAGATGGAGATGGCCTTCGCTTGACTGCAATGACTGAGTTGTTACATGCGGAGGACTGTTCATGGGATGGTGTCCAGCAGCTTCTCCAATGGAATCTGGTTCCACTGGATAGCGAAGGTTGGGTTGTTAGTGACCACCAACTGTTAGAACCTGTTGCTTCAAGTGGTATCCATCAACTTGTTGGTCTTAAAATCAACAAGCATAACTTTAGCATCAAGCCACTAACAAGAAAGCAAACAGGGCGGTTACCCTCACTCTTATGCTTGCAAGATATTGCGATTGGATTTACCATAGATTCTCCAGGATGTTTTTTCAGCTTGGAACCAGTGACCCCCCAGGAGACGCGGTTTCATCCTTTCTTTAAGCAGATTTTTGGGCCAAAGGGATTGCAAGCAAGCAGATTCCTAAACACACTGTTCCACACCGACTACCTTCTAAAGCAGTTGAGCACTGGGTTTGAGATTTCATCGTATCCTCCTTTTCATAAGCGTCCGGTCCATAAAGGTTTATTAAAGGGCCTCCCTAATGAGTTACAGAAAGTCCTTTTGTCCATACCCAGTCGAGGTCCATCTCTTAGCCGAGCTCATCGATTGTGGATACAAGCAGACGCCATGGAGTACGATGTCCAAGAAAACGACGATTCAGTACTTTGGTTGTTTGGAGATGTCAACATGACCGTTCGCTGCAAGCCCGTGTTTCACTCGCAGGATGGAGAACTGCAAGACCAAGACGTTCTTAGGCCAGATCCTGACAGCCCGGAAGGACAGTTTGTTGCTGACTTTACTAAACATTATGATCAGATCGGAAAGTATTTTCCTGAATTCTTGCGGCTGAAGGAACTTTGCAAAGTTCAATTCCTGGGAGCTTTTGTCACAGAATTTGAAAGATATTTGGAGGAACAACTAAGACGGCACGAGAGTCAGGAGATGGATGCATGGTATGGTGAAATCTACGCGTCAGAGATACAACAAGTTCAGAGAGAGAGCCAAGAAAAACTGGATAAAATATGGTGTAACTTAGCTTTGCAGTTCTGGTTAGGTAGCGATGAAGAAAAAGCTGGAATATTCCATCTAAGGGGCAACATTCCAGGCTCTTACCAAGAGATTTACCATTGGGTGCGTTTTGGTGATTCGAGTGTGATTGCACAACAATTAGCGCGTAATCGTGTCCCATCTGTTTCGCAGATTAAACAGAAAACGGTCAATGAGCTTGCAATGAGACTAAGACAGTATCGAAAATCAGTTTCTACGTTGAAGCAGAATTGCAAGGAGTACCTTCAGTCCACTGATTTGGCCAATGAGTGCTATTGGGTGCCGGCTGTCTGCCACTGTGAGGACGGAGAACGCATCTACGGAGGCGTAACTTTGACACCAATGACACGCAAAGTTACTCTCAGAATGGAAAGCGATTTTAGCAGGGTGTCGCTCTCTCCAAATTTCTTTGTTTTTCGCGAGAAAATAATAAACCCGGCTGTGAAACCTTTTAATCCTCCACGAATCAACGCAAAGAAAGTTGTTTTGACAAACGCCGCTGGTCCTGCGACCTGTTCACCTGGTGGTGACCCTGGCGACAGTTCGTCCTCAAGTGGCAGCGGGAATTTGCAAAGAGAAAAATCAAAGAAACAAAAAGAAAAAGGTAGTTTAGATTTGTGATAACAGTAGGCACAGCGGAAGGGCTGGGTGATTTGGGGGAAAATAATCTGCAAGCAAACCTTAGGTCATTCTAACAAAAATGTGAAGTGTATATATATATATATATATATCTGTCTGATTTTGTTAAAACGTGGCCACTGGGTTTTCGCCTACGGCCGGGCGAAGCCCGGCTCCAGGCCAGCCCGGTGAGCAAAAATGTAGGGGGGGAGGTTGCTGTCTTGGTCGGTACAGCTGGATAGCCCAGGGACTGCCCTAACAGTGGGTGGGTGGATCAGGCCTTGGGGTCAAAACTAGTGGGGTAGGGAGGGGACTGTTTTGGCACATCCCTTTCAGTAAGCAGCAGTGTTCAGTGCAGGCTTTGACTGGCGAGTACCTTGGTCTTAATTTTCCCTAGCCAGCTGAACCAAACCTCTTCTGAGAATGATTATCATGGTAATTGCAGAGCTCAGTGGGAGGTGCAGACAGTCACCCATTGTCATGGATGGGGAGGGTCAAAGTCTTGGTACCAAGGACGCTCCTAGCATAGGACCTTTAGACACTCACTGAAGCCATGTTTTCATAAATCCAGTCAGATATATATATATATATATATATGTATATATATATAACATGTGTTCCTGTTCCCTTGTCTGTTCACTGACGCTCATTTTCACCTTGCTGGTTGCTACCATTTCTCATTTAAAAAAAATTCAAGTTGTTCTTTCAACGAAATTGGTTTCTTTTCATATATATATCGCTCTAGCTCTTTCTCTGAAAGACTAATTTTTAATTCGGTTAAGCTGAGATTTTCAACGAAAGAAGTCCGGATTTTGATACTTAAAATTAACTTGAGAAGTTTGTGCGTATCATTTTTCAGATAACGGTCAGATAACGCTTTATCATTACACCGATTCAACTGGCGCTGCTGGCATCAAAAAGAGTAAAGTGATAAAAGGATCTACCGACGAAACACCCATACAGAATCGACGACATGGCTGTGGTAAATCGCTAGTTTGTTGACTCTTATACCGTTAGTAATATGAGTGTAATCTCTTATTTTAAATGCTAAAAACTAGTATTTACTCCTAGAGATATTCTGAATTTCCAACCAGTACTAACTGTGCTTTCAAAATGTCAATATCCGGTGAAATGGTTGCTAGTTTTGCTGCACGTGACCCTTCGCCTTGTCGCCGTGTCTGTAATATGAGTGTAATCTCTTATTTTAAATGCTAAAAACGAGAACTAGTATTTACTCCTAAAGATATTCTGAATTTCCAACCAGTACTAACTGTGCTTTCAAAATGTCAATATCCGGTGAAATGGTTGCTAGTTTTGCTGCACGTGACCCTTCGCCTTGTTGCCGTGTCTGTAATATGAGTGTAATCTCTTATTTTAAATGCTAAAAACGAGAACTAGTATTTACTCCTAAAGATATTCTGAATTTCCAACCAGTACTAACTGTGCTTTCAAAATGTCAATATCCGGTGAAATGGTTGCTAGTTTTGCTGCACGTAACCCTTCGCCTTGTCGCCGTGTCTGTAATATGAGTGTAATCTCTTATTTTAAATGCTAAAAACGAGAACTAGTATTTACTCCTAAAGATATTCTGAATTTCCAACCAGTACTAACTGTGCTTTCAAAATGTCAATATCCGGTGAAATGGTTGCTAGTTTTGCTGCACGTGACCCTTCGCCTTGTCGCCTTGTCTGTTTCACAGCTTGACAAGTTCTTTTTTTTCTTTTTCTTTTCTTTTTTTTTTGCAGGGGTCTATTTTACTTTCATCGACCCAAGCAATGACCCAAAGAAAATACTCCTCAACAACTACGATGACGCTGGTCAAGTTGTAAACAGTCAAAGATTATGGGCCAAACTCGATTGGGTAATCGAACTCAAAGTGGACAGGAATAAAGTAAAGAAAGTTAAAAACTCTAATCGCGACGTATACTTGTACGAGGGTGATGTTCACCTTGAAAATTGTCAGTATAGTATCTACAAAAACCCAAACACAAAAGATAAGGATTGAGCCACCCTGTTTTTTTTTTCACTTTTAAGGAAACCGTGCGAAACTTGGCCACGGGCGTAAACTGGTGTAGAGAACTTTTTTCTTTTAAATAGTGATTTCATGGTATCGTAAATGCTCTTGGTTTTTGGCCATCTCAGTTTTAAAAGGAATAACACACAAACTGGGTTACAAACATCAGAAATAACAAACGTTTTGTATAACTGACTTTTATAATATCGAACTTGACGTTTCGAATGCTGCAACATACATCTTCAGAAGTGACCGTTAACACTAATAAGAAGAGTCTCCTTGATTTTACAGTGGGTATCTGATTTTCCTCTTGCTAAAATGTCAAAATGGTCTCATTTCAAATTGTGACCAGTTGAAGTGACGTGTTCTGCAAGAGCTGATGAATGACCCATTACTAATGATTGCCCTCAAGTGTTCAGTTTTTTCTGTCATGCAATCTCCGTTTGGTTTTGCCGATTTAGAAATCCTGACAGTCCCAACAGCTAGCTTTGTTTTGTTTTCCCAATGCAGGTCATGTGATAATACTCTAGAGAACTGTTTCTTTCAAATTTCGTCTTATTCCCGTGCATATATAGGCATAATTTAAGAAAAGACATAGAGTCAAGTTCGATCCACTGGGACCTCTATTGGAAAAACAAAACGTAAAAGCTAAAGAGGTTTATTGAATTCAAAGTTTCGTCGCAGGACTCATACCCACAGTTAGAGGAAACTGGACAAATTACTTAAGGTTACGATACATGTTGTTTTTGCAGATGTGTAAGATTAACAGTGAAGTAATTATAGAATATGAAGAGTTGGTCTACATGGAAATATTTAAAAACTATGATTATTGTAATGCTTCTATCGAAATAGCGCTTAAAGTGACGCGTTAAGTGGAACAAGTTCTGCTTGAAAAGAAAAAAACTTTTAGGTTTGAGAATTTTGTATCAGCGAAAGGTTAAAAATGGAAGGTAAAAATGTTTTTTAAGCAGCTAGCGGCCTGATCTTGAAAGATATTTAGTTCTAAGAAAATTAAGTTGTTATATAGTTTTCCACAGAAAATCCTGAGAATTACAGTCTACGTTGGATAGTCAATGCCCAAATGCTCATATGAGTAAGGTCACTGTCTCTAATTAGTAGGGAGCCTTAAGTGAAGCGTTAAGTGAAACAAGTTCTGCTTGAAAAGAAAAAAACTTTTAGGTTTTAGAATTTTGTATCAGCGAAAGATTAAAAATCGAAGGTAAGCAATTTTTTAAGCAACTAGTTCCTGATCTTGAAGGACATTTAGTTAAGAAAATTAAGTTGTTATTTTCCACGGAAAATCTTAAGAGTTACAGTCTACGTTAACCAGTCAGTGCCCAAATACTCATATGAATATCTTCGCTGTCTCTAATTAGTAGCGAAGTTAAGCAACGACGACGGCAAAGACAGGGAAAACGTCATCCAAAAAGTGAATTTGCTCTGCCTCAAGTTTCATCGCTTTTATTCCAACTCTTTCACTTTGTCAAATTTTAGCGATTTGACTTGGAGTTGACTTCTAAAGGACTGTAGAATTTCACAAAAAGAAAAAGAAAATCGTTGTCTTGTGTTCACGTCCGCAATAAAACGTGAGATTCGGAAGATTCACGTCGTAATCGTGCAGTGGAGGCAAAGTAATATACAGTCGACTCCCGATAACTCGAACCCTCGCTAACTCGAACCTCGCGCTATCTCGAACCAAAATCGATTTCCCCTGGATTTCCGTCATACATTCACTGTAATTTTACCCTCGGTAACTCGAACCCTCGATAACTCGAACTCCCGCTAACTCGAACTCCCGCTAACTCGAACCAATTTTCGTTTCCCCTCAGGTCATTTTCTATATAATTTTACCCTTGATAACTCGAACCATGTTTTGAGCCCTTAAAAAGTCGGGAAAAAAGCCGTCTACGGGCGTCCGAAACATTGAATTTTGGATTTCCTTTTGACGTGTTGTAGGAGTATAGTTTACTTGTTTACTCTAGGCTATTTTCTTCGAACTCCCGATAACTCGAACCTTTTTTCGATTTCCCTTGAATGTTCGAGTTATCGGGAGTCGACTGTAAATGTACAAAAAAGCGGTATGCACTTGTAGAGTTGTTGTTGTTTTGTTAATCTAATCCTATTGGTTTTTTGCCGTTCTCGTTGCCGTCGCCGTCGTCGTTGCTTTAAGCTCCCTATGATTATCACAGTCTGAACTCGGATTCTTAGTGACATAGTTTGAAGTGAAAGTTTTCCTAACGTTGTTTGAACATAAGATTAAGAGGAGAAAAATAAAGGACATTCAATTGCAAGTCAGCTGTGCAATATCTGAAGGCTGAACGAATAAAAACAAGAAGATTGTGAATGTTAGAATATTAATAAATTGTTTGTTCTAAATTTGGTAAATCTTGCCTCATCCTTTTCGTGCGGATCAGCACTCAAGGAAGTCCGCCCACACACAGAGCCAGGCCTCTGGCATCCAGCGCTCTATATTGCTCAGCCAAGCTGGTTCCAGTTCAAGCTTGAATATATTTTCAGGCTTATTCGTCCAATGTCTATGTCAAATGTTAAAAAGGTAAAATTTCGTTTGTCAAGTTTGCTTTAAAAGCGTCAGTTCTATAACCGTTAGACCTAGAACTTGAGTTGCTTTCGTCACTGCGATGACCATTCTAACCTTAGAAGTAAATATATTCAGTCACTTCACGGTCAATTTTACTTCAAAAGCGGTTTTATTATCTATAACCGTTAGACTTGAAAAGAACTGAGACTTCCTCCGTAAGTGGAGGCCCATCTCTATATTTTAAAAACCACTTATGATACGGTCAACAAAATTGCACAGAACAATGTCCTCAGCTTTTCCAATATCTACAATCCTGGCTAAAAGGCCAGGTTTTGGGACAGCTCCCCTTTTTCACTTATTTGTGTATGGAGTTTGCTGTTAACCTGCAATACACACTCATAAACACGGCCTCAAAAAATTCTTAAGCAATGATAGCTTCCAATCAAAAAGCTTCCTACTTAGCTTCTGTTTATATAGAAGGCCTATCAAAATAATAGCTCTGCACACTAAACGCTCTGCATTTTGTACAACGGGCTTTAGGGCTCGATAAATTTTTGAGATTGTAACAGACCTGATTTAACCAATATGAAATGAATCTTTTCACCTACCATGTATTTTCTGTTTGAAGATCATCGAGTTAGCGTATTTTAAAAACAAAAACAAAACAAAAAACAACAACAACAACACCAAAACCAAATTTTTGGCCACTAGCGTAAGAAGGTTGGGGGTCGGCATTCTACCTTGCAAACACTGATTTTTGAACAAAGATACAAATGGAAATTAACGGGAGAAGAAGCAGGAACATGGCTACTCTTACCAAATATTATTATTCATTCAAAATATTTCCCCGATTCCGATTGGATAAAACACAGGCATAATTCCACATAACCAGCTACTGATGACCAAATTTGGAAGAATTTTGCAAGTTAATGCATCATTAACCGAGAAGACCTGGGGACGAGGTTGAGTTGTTTTGGTTGTGAAAACAAAAATGGCGGACATTTCACTCCTTTCAAGAGAAAGAACTAGGCAAAATAATAGCTAGAAACATGGGAAGAACAGCAAGAAGACAGCTCGAAGGGTGATATCTGCTATTTGGAGAATATTTGCGGAGCTGAACAACCCTAAACGTGCACTATCCAGGATGAACTAAACGTCGATGGAGGTAAGCATGTTTTAGCCATGTTTTTAAACTAGGAATTATTTTGAATGAATAATAAAACAATTATTGAATTCGCCTTTCGTATCATATGAACAATTATGGACATCTCGGAGGGTGTTACATTCTTCTCGATCTCCATAATTCTTCATAAGTTACTTGGCCTCATTCATTAATTGCTAATAAAGCTGATCAAGCTGAGTAAGAGTCTTACTTGTTATTGTTAGGATTAAAAAAACTGAGAAATAAAGATACAGTCGAATAACCTATATTATTTCTATATATTATTGATTGGGTGCTCCTTACATTTTTTCTATTTAAAGATCGATTCCACGGAGTTTTCAGTCGTGCTCAGTTTGCGTTAGCTACAACGAATACGCAACAAATAAAACAACTAGGTGGAAAGTCATGGAATTCAGCGGGATCTTTATTTCTATGTTTTAACTCCTAGATGGCGATGGCTTAAGTTCGCTTATGTATTTTATACCATGCAACACTATTATGGTCAGGCTGCCCAAAAGCATACTATGAACACACTATGGTACAATTTTTTTTTCAGTTTCCGTAAAATAAAACTTTGTGTTTTGTGCGTTGTTGTTTACCGAGTCCAAAACAGCTGTCTGACAGTTCCCAATACCGAATGTCCCAACTTTTTTCTTACCCTGTTTCTACATTGTGCCACGGTATGGCAAAATAGTCTAAGGTATATAACTTAATAAGTTAAATCTTTCTTAACGGCGTCCCATTTCTAGCATTTTGGATAAATAACCGAGTAAGATAAATGCTAATAACCGTCGATAAATCACAGCTAAATATTCGAGATAACTCCACCTGCTGCCGGATATCAGAAAGCCGACTTAGAGCCAAGTTCACGGCTAACGAAAAACGTGGGATTTAATTGGAAAATTTCTTGAATTACTGTAGGTAAAGATTGAATAAAAGCTGTGCAAGATAATTCTTTTGGATTAACCTCACCCAACATTAACTAACTATTTATCTTAGTTTATGCAGTTAACATAATCAGTTCAGAAACGACAAGTAATGGAAAACTTAGTCACGTGGTACAAATTGATGTTCGCCGTTTTCCGTAAACGTAATTTTCAATCTCTTTATTAATCACCCACGCAGCCATTCTACCGACTGCCGTCTTTTGCAGTTATCTCCGAGTTAATTAGGAACGTTAAACGCCGTTGAAGGAAAAAATGTACATTAAGTTTCCACTAATTAATTGCAAATAAATAAGACGATTGACGAACGGTTACTAGGTAACACATCCCTCCAGTTGTGATGCCTATGAGATTCTTTTTTCTTTTATGGTGAAGGTGACGCTTTCTTTCCCTCCAAAGAAAATATCAGGAAATTCTGCTGGTCAACTAACGAGGCGTCCGTCTTTTTTTGTTATTTTTGTTGTTGTTGTCATGGTTGTTGTTGTTCTTTTTTGGGCTAGGTTTATGTTTTAATCGCGGTTTGAGGCTTAGTGGAGCCAGACCTTTACTTGCCATCTTAGTGGACTTCAGCCGTTTCCCAAATAGGAAAAGGTATGAAATAGAAGGCATGTTTGTTTGTTTGTTTGCTTTTTTTCAATGTTTTTTTTCCAACAATATAAACTTCGCGGCGTTTTATGCCTATCATCCTACTATACCTCTGATTTTATTAATTTCATTACATTTTCTGTTATCAAAATTTGTTACAAAGATGTTTTAAAAAAACGAGCGCGTTTTCACTCTTTTCAATTTCCAAGTTCTTTTTCTTCTCTCAGTTGCAGAATTAAACGGCATTCAAATAACTGCTGATGTCCTTAACCTTTTTTTGACAGTTTTATAAACGCCCAAAAAAGTAATACCCTGCGAGAGCAGAAAGCTTTTTTGGCTCTTGTTTCAACCGTCGAAAAAAGGGCTCTTCTCTCGGGGGGTGAAACAAGACCCGAAAAAGGCCTCTGCTCTCACAAACTAAGTAAGCAACCATGAATGTATAAGTTTCTTAATCTAAGACATGCAATTTTGAATAACTTAGTCGTGTCGAGGTATTAACAGAACAAACAGTAAGTAAAAATGACGGCAAGATACGGAATTCAGCGGTATCGTTGTTGCTATTTTTTTTTAACTCTTAGATGGCGATGGCCTTTTTAAACGTTTGCTTACTATATATTTTATACCACGCAACACTATTATGGTCGGGCTGCCCATAAGTATACTATGAACACACTGGTACAATTTTTTTTCAGTTTCCGTAAAATAAAACTTTGTGTTTTGTGCATCGTTGTTTACCGAGTCCAAAACAGCTGTCTGACAGTTCCCAATACCGAATGTCCCAACTTTTTTCTTACCCTGTTTCCACATTGTGCCACGGTATGGCAAAATAGTCTAAGGTATATAACTTAATAGGTTAAATCTCTCTTAACGGCGTCTCATTTCTAGCATTTTGGATAAATAACCGAGTAAGATAAATGCTAATAACCGTCGATAAATCACGGCTAAATATTCGAGATAACTCCACCTGCCGCCGGATATCAGAAAGCCGACTTAGAGCCAAGTTCACGGCTAACGGAAAACGTGGGATTTAATTGGACAATTTCTTGAATTACTGTAGGTAAAGATGGAATAAAAGCTGTGCAAGATAATTCTTTTGGATTAACCTCACCCAACATTAACTAACTATTTATCTTAGTTTATGCAGTTAACACAATCAGTTCAGAAACGACAAGTAATGGTAAACTTAGTCACGTGGTACAAATTGATGTTCGCCGTTTTCCGTAAACGTGATTTTCAATCTCTTTATCAATCACCCTCGCAGCCATTCTACCGACTGCCGTCTTTTGCAGTTATCTCCGAGTTAATTAGGAACGTTAAACGCCGTTGAAGGAAAAAATGTACAATAAGCTTCCACTAATTAATTGCAAATGAATAAGACGATTGACGAACGGTTACTAGGTAACACATCCCTCCAGTTGTGATGCCTATGAGATTCTTTTCCCTTTTTTGCCTGCTCCTTTTATGGTGAAGGTGACGCTGTCTTTCCCTCTGAAGAAAATATTACGAAATTCTATTGATCAACTAACGAGGCGTCCGTCTTTTTTTGTTTTTTTTGTTTGTTGTTGTTGTTCTGTTTTGGGTTGGGTTTATGTTTTAATCGCAGTTTGATGCTTAGTTGAGTCAGTCTTTCCCTGCCATCTCACTGGGCTTCAGCCGATTTCCAAACAGGAAAAGGTATGAATCGAAATGGAAGTAATCTTTTTTTCGAGTTTTTTTTTTCCAACAATATAAACTTCACGGCGTTTTATGGCTATCACGATACTATAACTCTCTGATTTTCATTTATTTCATTCAATTTTCTGTTATGAAAAAATGTTACAAAGATGTTTACAAAAAACGAGCGCTTTTCACTCTCTGTACGAACCGCCAACTTCCAAGTTCTTTTTCTTCTCTCAGTTGTAGAATTATCCGGCAAATAACTGATGTCCTTAACCTTTTTTAACAGTTTTATAAACGCCCAAATAAGTAATATTCTACGAGAGCAGAAGCCCTTTTCGGCTCTTGTTTTAGCCGTCGAAGAAAGAGCTCTTCTCTCGGCGGGTGAAACAAGAGCCGAAAAAGGCCTGAGGCCTCTGTTCTCACAGGCTAAGAAAGCAGCCATAAATGTACAAGTTTCTTAATTTACGGCGTGCAATTTTGAATAACTTAGTCGCGTCGAGGCATTAACAAACATTAAGTAAAAATGACGGCAAGATACGGAAATTAAGCTGTATCTTTCTTGCCATTTAATAACTCCTAGATGACGATGGCTTAAGTTTGCTTATATATTTTATACCATGCAACACTGTTTTGGTCGGGCTGCTCAAAAGCATACTATGAACGCACTGGTGCAGTTTCCGTAAAATAAAACTTTGTATTCCGTGCATTGTTGTTCACCGAGTCCAAAACATCTGTCTGGAAATTCCCAATACCGAATGTTCCAACTTTTTTCTTACCCTGTTTCTACATTGTGCCACGGTTTCGCAAAACAATCTAAGGTATAGAACTTAATAAGTTAAATCTTTCTTAACAGCGTCCCATTTCTAGCATTTTGGATAAATAACCAAATAAGATAAATGCTAATAACCGTCGATAAATCACTGCTAAATATTCGAGATAACTCCACCTGCCGCCGGATATCAGAAAGCCGATTTAGAGCCAAGTTTACGGCTAACGCAAAACGTGGGATTTAAGTGGACAATTTGTCGAAGTACTGTAGGTAAAGATGGAATAAAACTGAAGCTGTGCAATATGATTCTTTTGGATTAACCTCACCCAACTTTAACCAACTATTTATCTTTATGCAGATAACATGAACATTTCTGAAACGACAAGTAATGGAAAACTTAGTCACGTGGTACAAATTAATGTTCCCCGTTTTCCGCCAAACGCGATCTTAAATCTCTTTATTATCACCCACGCAGCCAATCTACCAACTGCCGTCTTTTGCAGTTATCTCATTGAAAATTAGGAACTTTAAACACCGTTGAAGGAAGAAATGTACAATAAGGTTCCACTAATTGATTGCAGTTGAATAAGACGATTGACTGTTATGATGCCAGTCGAAGATTTTGTTGTCCATAATAATCTGCTCATTTTTATGATGGTGACGCTCCCTTTCCCTCTAAAGAAAATATCACGAAATTCTGTTGGTTACCTACCGAGGCAGCTTCCTTTTTTGTTTTTTTGTTTTTTTTTCCCAGATATATGATATATTTTTAATGGAATGAATTTTTCCAATCGAAATGGAGTGTCTTTTTTTTTTTTTTTAATCGAAAGGATTAATGTAAATAGTGCTTTGACTGAATAGTTTTTTAAGTGAAATTAATTGTAAATAGGATTTTATAGTTAGCTTTGTTATCAATAAAAGATTTGGGCTAAATTTTTAAATTTTATTATTATTAGTAGTAGTAGTAGGAGTATTATTATTATACTCTTTCTTTCTTTCTTTTCTAGGTTAGGTTTATGTTTTAATCGCAGTTTGATGATTAGTTGGGCCAGATTTTACCTGGCATCTTAGTAGACTTCAGCTGTTCGAAAATACGAAAAGGTAGGAAATGGAAGTAATGTTGGTTTTTTTAATGTTTTTCCCCTACAATGTAATCTTCACGGCGTTTTAAATGACTATCATCCTCGGTACCTCTCTGATTTTCTTTTATTTCAGTTAACTTTCTGTTCTGAAAATTTGTTATAAAGATGTTAAGAAAAGGAGCTTTTTTTCACTCTTTGAACGAACGGACAATTTCCAAGTTCAGTTTCAATTTTATGGACAAATAACTTAAACCCTTAGCATTTTTTGACAATTTCACAAACGTCCAAATAAGTAACCATGAATGTATAAGTTTCTGCATTTAAGACATGCAATCTTAAATAACTTAAATAATCCTTTCACTTAACTGAAAAGCTGAAGAAGCATTTAATTCCCGGCAAACGAATGTTTAACTTTCCGTGTTGATATTTTGTATGGACAGAAGCGAAGGGTTCGTGTCATTTTCATCCATAAGAATTTTTTTTTCAAAATGTAGACCTGTTACTTTATGTCTTAATTTGACAAATTGCCACCGTGAATCTGCTGTTTGCCGTGAACCCGATTACAACGCACGAACGTCACTTTGACTTCACTTTGTTGAATTAAACGGCAGCACCCAAATTTCATCAATTTCCACTTTTTTCGTCTGATAAAATCAAGAAGTTGGCTAACACTTTAATGTTCTTTAACAATAGCAGTGTTGTCATGATGAGTTCGTTTATTATTAAAGAAGGAACTGAGGAACTACAATCACCCACCATCTTGGATCCACCATTTTTAAGTAATCACGTCTCCCATTTTACTTAAAACGCATATAAATCCAGGTTATTCTGATATAATGGTATATAAAATTTGATCTGAGTATAAAAGGATGCTTTGGAAACACAAACTTCCGAGAAAAATAACACTGTTGGAAATTGAACTTAGTATCTGCATTTTTTGTTAATTATCATTTTTATTGTAAATGTATTATTTCCTCAAATTAGTCAATAAAAACCCTGGATAACATAAACAGTTAAAATAAATTTGATAAAATAATGCTAAATTAGGTGTGATATAGTAACTCAATTAATAAAGTAGAGAAAAATTATTTAAAATTTCGAAAAACACGGCTGTAAAAACCCGGTTGCCATGGCAACGTCAATGTTGACATATACGCGACGACCACTTTAAAATGTTTCCAGATACATTTTAGGAAATTCATCGAATTTTTGCGGTCATAGCTTTGACGGTTTTGAAGGTATTCAAAATTAAATTGAAGTTGGCCTCAAAAGCCTCCGTGCATGGTCTGATTAGGGTTGAATAAAAATAACTCATCAGTCTCTGATAATGGAATCATTGGATAATGCAATTCTAGAGCTCTGAATGGCTTAGCCATCTTGGTATATGAGCCATTATGCCATGCTCTCCAAATATGGTAACTGCACGCGTCTGCTCGAAATTAAAAACAAGCTGAAAATCGGTTGTTTTTACAAATTATGTCGGGAAGAGTTCTCGATATTTTGTGGGCGTTTTTAATAAAAGAATCATTCCACTCCCTTTTTGGATATGAGATGATTATAGCCAAACTCGGCGCTACGCGCCTCGTTGGCTACTACCCTACCATCTCATATCCAACCCGCACTCGTGGAATAATTGTTAAATAGCATGACTAGATACACTTTATCATTTGTAAATTCATTTTTCAGTCATCAAGGATTCATCAATTCATAGATTGGTTTTCGTGCCTGCACAAGGGCTATCCGTAACCTTACAGTCCAGTGCTGACGGCATACTTGATATCCTGTGGTGCTCAGTTGTCATTTGCTGTAATTTCAGGCTCGTCTCCAGCTCTGTTAAGGTGTGAGGTTCAACATGGGAATATTCACCCTTTGTTTCCTTATCATGCTGATCTACTATGGTCCGTTCATTGGACAGGGTCAAAGGTATCCAGGTAAGATATCTTTGGCTTTGGTCAGCACCAGTAATCACGGTGACTTGCTGTCTCCAGATACATTAGACATGAGTGCCGCGTGCACCAGGAACGATGTCGGGGAAATTATAGTTCATAGAATGGAATAGTTTTTAATCACGTCAGATATCTTTATTATATGTTTTATTAACCTCTTTAGGACTTGACAGTGGACAGCGTTAAATAGTATTCCTATCATCTCAATCTTATTGACAAATAAGGTCGTTGCGTTAGTTTTTATCTAGCCACGACTTGTTAATTAAAAAAGGTCGTGTGCTGTCAGGGAGCTCCTAACATTAAAACTGCAAAAGAATTGCATGTGCAGAAGTGCGCTAGCTTTCATAACTATTCTCTTACACTAATTATATAATTAGGTGGAATGGTACAATACCAAAATTAGCAGATTAATAATTAGAAAATTGCCACCACTTCGGTTCCGAGGAACTACATTTTCCAGCATTTTTCCAGCGGCGTACTAGGCACCAAGCCTTCAATGATCTTTTGCAACCGATTTCATCGACGGAAAGAACTCGAAAATTAGGCCTCACTTCTAGGAAGACACAATATCCATATGCTAGGGATGAACAAAGTAATATTTCAACGCCTTTGACCGGCTCATCATCATTATCATCATCATCATCATCATCAGCATCATCAGCATCATCATCATCATCAGCATCAGCATCAGCATCAGCATCATCATCATCATCATCAGCAGCAGCAGCATCATCATCATCATCATCATCATTATTACTATTATTATTATTATTATTATATATTATTATTATTATTATAAAGTTGGTGATAGTCTCAATAGCGTGTAAAATCAAAGATTTAAAGCTACGATAAAATGCTAAACGGACAACAGAAACAAGTCGTTTTTGCAAAACAGGCTGCACGTTTTTGTTACCCGTTCGACCGTAGCTCAAACGTTATTCAAAATCTCTCTACTGCGCATGGCAACGATAGGTTGCAAAAGGCATTTTTTTGCGTAGTAAGCAAGAATAAACAAATTTGGTTTGATATCTCCCAAGGTGGAATATGACGTCACCACAAGCTTGCAAATCTAACGAACAGGACTCTTAAAGACTCAATTAGATCTACATACCTTGTTTCAGGTCCTTGTCAACCATTCACAGCAAACCAAAGCTTGCTTTGCACCGAGTTCGAAACCCTTGTGGATGCCAATGGCGTTCGAAAATTTTGCGATAAGTCGCAGGCATCTTGTCGTGTTAATACCACCTTCTACGGTCCTCATAGTCGTGACGATCGCTTTTGGGGATACTGCTACTGTGATGAAATCTGTAAAGGAATCGGTGATTGTTGTGTAGATTATGACCAATGGTAAGTTGCCTTGATTGTAGGATGGATATATAAGTGACAAAGACTGTTGTAATTCGGCAAAAATCACATGCGCTGGATAAAAATCTAAACACTAGAGGCGTAGTATGAAGAATAACGAGTTCACTCTAAAGCTAGAGCAAATGCTTTACAGACTTGTTGTTTGTAATTTTACAGCGATAGACGGTTGCTGCACTAGTATGAACAAAGGCGCCAACTCGGGGCTCGTTCAAGGTGACAAAATACAGTGATATGAATGAATTAGGCCCTTTGCAGGAGCTGAAAACGTGCGTAGATACCACTAGACAACGGCTTGCTGTATGGCAAGGCATCCAAACGTTCATTCCGATCACAAAGCTTTGATGCGATCGAGAGAAGAATTCCCAGTTTAATTATTCTGTTGAAAATTAACCGAAATACAAGGCTTCGTCCCATCGCACTTAAAACCTTGTGATCTGAATGAGCGCTTGGATGGCTTGCCATCCAGCGAGCCTTTACTAAGTGGTACCCAAGCATGTGACCAAAAGCTCTGCAAAGGGATAATTATTCACTCAAGCCTCGATCTCGTTTCATTGTGTTCTCACTGGAGCAAAATTTGGAAAGGGTTCATAACACGCACTTCTCGGTTGTGATATTAGCTCGCAATTCCTTATACTGCATTCGTCTACGCCTCTTGCAGTATTTGAATTATCTTGTTCAATTTACAGCAAGCGCATGCGTTTTTGCTCCAAAAACATTTACACTGGACACTACAGTCTCACTCTTATTTAACCACCCTGACCCATAGCCTGCAACGCAGATGTAATCTCACTCCGGTTAGTAACGTCTGCGAAGCCTATATCCTTGTTCTGGTCTCCAAAAGATTCAACGAATTACCGGAAGTGCGTTTTGATTGGCAAATCGACAATGGCTTCTTTTAAAAGAGACCAATCATGGCAAGTACTCAAGTCCTAGTACACATTTACAAGCCCAGAACAAGGATTTCGGCGCCGTTTCGCAAATGGAATTAACCAGAAGATGACTTCCGTCTTTGACGCAGGCTAAGACTCTCTTGCCGTGACCTAGTTCCGGTATCAAGTTAACAAACAACCCAAGCGTGCAAAGTGTGTTTTGATTTTCTGTTTTCTGATTGAGCCCGACTAAAACGACGCGCTATTAGATGCGGTTTTGAGACCTTTGACTATAAGTTTTGTATCAGCAAAGCCACGGTAGTCTATGATCCAAGGTCTATCAATGATATATTGGGAATTTCCTCCAACTGATATTACCGGTAAATTACAAAGGGCATCAACCTTACTATGTCCATCACCATGGGCACCCTACCTCTACGACAGCATCACCATCACCATCAAAACCACTTCTTCCTCCATGAACGTTATTACTAGGGACTTTAAGATCCAACGAGGCGGACGGCAACGAGAACGTAAAAAAAACAATAGGTTTTATAAGAAAAACAACAACTTCGCACGTGCATCACGCTTTTTTGTACATTTCTTTGCCGTTTTTGTACGACTGCGACATGAAAATGCCTAATTTCGCGTTTTATGGAGGACGTAAACAAGCAACGACGAAATTTTACTCCTCCTTCCGTACTTCGATATGGTCCCAAAGAACTCAACTCCAGGACGGTTCGTCTAAATTAGACAAAGGAAGTGGGTAGGAATAACTGCGATAAAGACTGAAAGAACACAAATTTACCTTTTAAGCGACGTCCTCATTGCTATCGCGTTGTTAAATCTTAAAGCCCCTATAATACCACCACCGCGCCACCGCCACGCAACCATGAGAAGAAAACAGAACCAGCTTGAAGCGGAAATCGCCTTTCTTTCTCTGGGAAACAATACAACTGCCGCCGGAAACAACTAACACGTCGAGCCAGACCTTTCGTGAAGAAATGGACGACAAATTCAATGATAGCACAAAAAATGAAGCTGCCCTACATCAAACGACTACCAATGGTCAGAAGATGAGATACTGCTTGTTGATCTTCCAACAACAAACTCTTTCTCTCCCCTTCAAGATCTACAGAGAAAATCCGCCAAGAAAAGAAACACAAAACAAACCCGAAGACACTAATTCCCAGCACCCTCCTAAGTCCCCTGCTACCAACAACACCAATAATTCTAATGAAATAATCTTTCTATGTGATTCAAATGGAAAGTTTTTAGACATGGAAAAAATTTTTTCTTCAAACCAGGAAGTCAAGTATATTAGAACTCCACTGATTGAACACGCTAGATCGTACTTACAAAGTCAAATCCACACTGCTCCCTAACTACTCATATTACACACAGGAACAAACGATCTAGAAAGAACCAGTTCTCCCGAAGATCTTATTTCCAACATCTTAATATTGATTACAGAAGCCTCAACGAAATTTCCTTCAAGTAAAAATAATATTCTACTCAACACTTCTTCCCCGCAGCGACATCCCGACACCAATAATAACTTCAATAAACAATCAGTTGATCAGTAGCTGCTCAAGATTACCCAATGTGCAGTTAGTCAAACATGACAACCTCTTTGCGAATCAACCAAGTGTTCTTTACGATCAGAAACATATTCTGAAACGGTACGTAAAATTTTTCGCCAAAAACCTTAAGGACGCAATTCGCGGTCGCGCCAGACCAAAACCTACAGTTCCTTCTAATACAATGCCAGTCCAAAGACAAAGATCCTCACAAACTCAACCGACTTCTTCCCAAGGTCCCAAGCCACTATTACATCACACATCATACAGCAATGCCGTAAAGAACACACCACCTCAAGCGCCATTTGTCACACCACAACTTCCACAAAGAATACCTCCAACACCATTGCAGAATTCACTACATCAGGAACCAAATGCCTCAAATAAAGCATTCCTGCTTCCAATGCAAACCCTGCCGGACCAGATACCCCCAGCTCCGCCACCAACTATATCGCATCAATACTCCAAAACAACGTACCGCATCAAACGCTTCCACAGGCCGCTAAAATGGAAACCGCAGGTGAAGAAACTCGCCCCTCCAACAAATTAAAGGATTCAGCAATGCCTCAGGAAATCATATCCTTTCTTCGTTTTATAAAATCATTTGTATGAACAATTTCATCTTACCCTTGACACTGAATTAAGTATTAATGATAAACTTTATACCAGTATAAAGAGTAATCCATTTATTTTTTCTATACAATCACGGACACCGAAGATAGTCCCGATATTTCAAGCACATTGTCCTTTTGCGCTTGGAATATTAATGGCCTTTCTTCGAAATATCTTGGAAATAAGTTAGATAATACTGATTTTTTGAGTGTTATTAATAACTCCGATTTTATATTATTAACAGAAATTGCCAACTGCCCTAATCTGGAAATTGCGGGATAGAAATCTTTTTTTCAGTGTCCCACCCCAAATCAGTCGGGGAGATGTGGGCGTAACTCCGGAGGAATCGCTTTATTTTATAAGAACAAATTCCATAAAAACATTTCCATCACTAAAACAACTCAGCATTTTATTTGGTTTAAAATTGAGAATCGTTTTCTAAATTCAGTGAAGAATATTTACGTCTGTGGTGTCTATATACCCCACTGTAACTCAAAATACTTCGATAACGAAATTTTTGATCAGCTAGAACAAGACATAGCACGTTTTTCTTCGTCAGGATCAATAATTCTCATGGGTGACTTTAACTCGAGAACCGGGAAATACTCTGATACTGTCTCAAAGGAGGGAAACAGTATAATTAGTAATGATCAGTCGGAATCAGCTTTCCAGCCAAGTCAAAGAAATAGTTTTGATAATGTTTTAAATAGCCATGGGAAACGGCTGTTGGAAATTTGTAAAACCTTTGACCTAAGAATAGTTAATGGCAGAGTTAATGGAGATACCCTAGGCAGACCCACTTTTCATGGAAACAACGGGACGAGCGTTATTGATTCTCTAATATGTGATCAGTGCACATTTCTCAACGTTGCAAATTTTGTTGTTAAACAGCCATCTTATTTATCGGATCATAGTGCCATCGTGGCATGGCTCAATCTTAACACCAGGCTAATTGGAGACGAATCGAACACTCCAAATGGTAGCAATAGATTATCAAAATTACCACGGCAATTTTGCGGGGAAGTTGACTCACATTTAAAATTCAAAAACGCACTGCGCACGGAACCAATCCAACTTCTAATTAGACAATATATGGAGAGAAACACCGAAGATGTGAATATCTCCTTAGAAAACGCTATGACAATTCTAACTGAGACCTCCAAGCTATGCCTAAAAATTAAAGCTAAGAAAACTTATAAGCGTATTAAGAAATCATCCAACAAGAAATGGTTCGACTGTGAATGTCGCTTGAAAAGGCATGAATTACGAAAAGTCTCAAATGAAAAGCACCGTGACCCCCTCAACTCCGAATTGCGAGAAAGATATCACAAAACCTTGAATGATTACAAAAAGCTCCTAGACACAAAGAAGAGAGGATTTCACAAAGAAAAAACATTACAACTCGACGAACTAGTTTTAAATCCTGACAAGGCGTCATTTTGGAATTGTTTAAATTCGATGAGCGACACTTTCAACGAAAATGTTCCTGCCCCAATCTCGGAAGAATCATGGCTTCACCATTTCAAATCTCTGCGTTCTATTGACCAGACGAATTCCACGCATGAACATGAAATCCATAGGGAATTAAATTCTTTAGAACACGAAAAGGAACAGTTCACCCATCTCGATTATGAGATAACTGAGAGGGAAATACGTCAAGTGGCGAAGAAATTGAACAATAAGAAATCACCATTTGTTGACAAAATACGAAATGAAATGATCAAAGCAAGCTTCGAACCACTAATGCCTGTCTATGTCAAACTTTTTAACCTCATTTTACAATCCGGAAAAATGCCAGATGTTTGGTGTCAAGGCCTCATGACCCCAATTTACAAAGCTGGTGACAAGAGTGATCCAACAAATTACCGAGGCATATGTGTTTCTAGTTGCCCTTTAAAACTGTTCTGTTCTATTTTAAATCGAAGACCTCACTTGTATTTTGAGGAAAATAAGATATTACATAATTCCCAAATTGGCTTTTTACCTGAAAACCGTACTGCAGACCATGTTTTCACTCTAAGGACCCTAACAGATAAATATCTGCATTTTAACAAGGAAAAAGTCTACGCTTGTTTCGTAGATTTCCGCAAAGCGTTTGACTCTGTTTGGCACGAAGGATTGTTTTATAAGCTGCTAAAAACGAATATAGGAGGAAACTTGTACAACCTCATGAAAAGCCTTTATTGCAACTCGACATGTTCCATCAAAATCGGTGAAAACAAAACACAGCCTTTTTCATATTCCAGAGGTGTACGTCAAGGCTGTATTTTAAGCCCTCTTTTATTTAACCTCTATTTAAACAATCTGCCACATCTATTCGAAAACACCTTATCTGACCCATTTGTTCTTCCAAATGGGAAAAAAATAAATTCACTTTTGTACGCAGATGATTTAGTTATTCTATCAAGATCGAAAACTGGATTACAGAACTGTTTAAATGCGCTTTCCTTGCATTGTGACAAATGAAAGCTAAAAATTAATCCGAAGAAAACAAAACTTATGATATTCCAGAAACGCCCAAAAAAATCTATTGACATCAAATTCAACATAGGCAGTGAGTCAATTGAAATTGTCCAAGAATACACTTATTTAGGTACACGTTTAACTCCAACGGGAAACTTTACACTTGCACTCGAACACTTAAAAGAAAAGGCCCTTCACGCGTTTTCTAGTATTCGGAAGCGCACAATTCTTAACAAACTTAATCCTAATACTGCATCCCAAATTTTTGACACCATGGTATTCCCAATCTTGAGTTACAACAGCGAGGTATGGGGAATGTACACCAAGCAAGATTTTAAAAAATGGGATAGCTCCCCAATAGAAAAAATCCACCTCAAATTCTGTAAACGTTACTTAGAGGTTAACAATAAGGCCTCTAACATAGCCTGCAGAGCTGAACTTGATAGACTGCCGCTGCTTATCCCGATAAATCAGAAAATTATGAAATATTTTGTTTACCTCAACAACAAAGATAATGACTCTATAGTCAAACAGTCTTTCCTTATGTCAAAGAATCTACATTCTATGAATAATTCCGGATATTTTTCCAATTTCATAAACATGCTTGAACAATACAATCTAACCAGTTTAGATGCTGAATCTCTAGATAATAATAAAATTAGACGATATACCACAGAAATGAGAGAAAAATATCTATCTTTTTGGCGGCACAGCCTCGAAAATTCAAAAAACTAGAATTTTATAAAACTTTTAAAGATGAATATTCTACATCTGATTATCTCTACCAGCTAAGACATTATGACGAACGACAGAATTTTGTTAAATTTAAAATAACTAATCACAAACTTATGATTGAACATGGTCGATACCAAATCGATCATTTGCCAAGAGAAAATAGATTATGTCCTTTATGTAACTCAAATCAGGTAGAAGATGAGATTCATTTCCTCTTTCAATGTAACAAATACTCAGTACAGAGACAGGCATTTATTAATCAAATCAATCGAATAATACCTGACTTTGACAAGAAATCATCTCCAGAAAGCATAAAACTGATAATGAATTCGAAGGAACATCATGTAAATAAGTTAGTTATGAAGTTTGTTTCCTCCTGCATGAAAATACGTGATTCATTGTTAGTAATGTAACCGAATTTTTCTAGATTATTATTAGCGCTGTTTTGTTTTATATTTTGATTGTCATATACATGCTTTTGCAATACTGTAAAATGATGCGGTCATGCAAATAAAGCAATTTATTACTATTACTATTACAACAACGACAGCTTCATTGGAGTCAACAAAACTGTAATTCTATGCTCCAACTTTTCTCGTAACTACACCAAAATAGTGAAAAAACCTGGAGACGATCAAAGCGCAACTCAAGAACAATCTCTGACATTCACCGTCATCACTTATGTTGGGTTTTCGTTGTCAATTATCTCTCTTATATTTCTTTTGGTGACCTGTTTCCTGTTTGGGGAGTTGCGCACCTACCCTGGTAAAGCGGTGATACATCTGTCATGCGCAATGATAGTCATGCAGTCCGTATACTTTGCATCAGACCCGGATGTTGTTTCCTCTACAGCCTGTGCTGTGCTGGGTGCCCTGCTGCATTACTCCATCCTTGCTGTTTTTCTCTGGATGGGTGCAATTGCTCATAACACACAGAAAACCTTTTCAAATCCAAGTAAGCTTTTTTGATTATGTTGTTGTTGTTGTTTACATATACTTTCAAACGGTGACTAAATACTCGACTGGTAGCAATTCTGTTGGATTGACGCTGGGGGAAAGGAACGTTTACTATAATAGCCTCTGCAGGGGGCTCCGCCCAGGAGGATTGTTTAGACCTTTTAACACAATGAAGCTACATAAAAGGAGCAGACATTATACGAGTTCAAGTATTGTTCTCAGACGTACCATTTTTCAATTGAAGGTATACTTAAGAGAGATATTATAGGTTTCTATGGAGGTGAATTCACCACGGTACACGATGGCTATGGCTTTGCGGCACCGGTCGAGTCGATCCAGATGTGGGTCGTCTCCATTTTCTTTCGGTTATCAATGATCAATGAATATTTTTGGATTCGGAGCCCGGGGGAACTCCCGTATAAATGTGAAGGGGGTGCTCGTCGTCTCGCCTAGGGGTCTAACTTGGGGTGTTTAGGACGGAAAGTGGCTGTATTTGCCCATTCAGGTATCGCTTAGGGCTGTGCATTAAGAAATTTACAAAAATGCCGAGATGTCTGTTTAAGTATGGTCTCCTTTAGGGCTCAGTTTAAGTTTGAGCCACACCCACATTGGTTTCCCTTATAGGTTTAATTTTAATTTTCCGACGAGTATCCTCGTCACTTTTATATGGGAGTTTTCCCCCGGGATTCGAAGGGGAAAAATCCACTAGCTCTCCCAACGACCAGTCTTTAAGAGCTTTGCTGCTATAGAGCCCAAGAGGGAGAAGGTAGTGCTTTACGGGTGTGACTGACGTCTCCTTCTTTGTGTGTAGATGCGAATCCAACTAATCCTCTGGTGATAGCTCAGCAGAAGAGGTGGTACATTGGCTACAGTGTGATTTGTTGGGGACTTCCTATTGTGGCTGTTGGAGTTTGCATGGCTTTGCAATTGACTGACACCGGAAATGTTGGTTATGGTGAGTTAACGGCATACCGCATGTTGTCTTAGGGAGAGAGAAGTTGCATGAAATTGGAAAAGGTGGCTGCACCCCTTACCGCACCCTGCGAGAAGGAGCTTCCTTTTGTCTTCTTCTTGATTGAGAAGGAGAAAATGATGCTGTTCCTGAATAGTGTCAAGCCTTTGACGTCGCCGCAGCCCAAACCTCTGGACTAGTCAATCTTGTTTTTTGTTTTTTTTTCTCTCCTCAAACTAGCTTTCTAGTGCAAGAATCGATATATTGATAACTGAGCCTCATGCACCAAGCACACGGCTATTAGGCCTGAGTTATAAACTGTATCCTAACAACTTGCAGTACATGCTCAACAAAGATCTTACTCGATTCATCAATGCAGAGTATTTTTCGAGTAGCGCCAATTCGAACAAGCGAAAGAAGGGCTCTGCTAGCAGGGTGGCCGAACCGGTAAAGTTGCCCAAATTAGCCGAGCATTTTGTGATCTTTTGTGAACAAACCAAAGAATTTTGTCACACCCTCGCTGAAGCAATTTTTCACGCTCTTTCTTTGCTATCTCTGCAATTAAGAGTTCACTAGACCATACTGCTGCAGCCAGTAACCTTAGCAGCCCATGAACACTCTCATTACATACTTCTCTCACATATTGCAGGTTCAGATGTCAACAAAGATGGATGTCAGCTGTCTCTGCCTGCTCGCATTTACGCCATTGCCATCCCTGTGTCGTCGCTGCTTCTGTTTAACATTGTGGCTTTGATTCGCACAACTTTTGCTATCAAGCACCACGGACAAGTACGATCTTGTTTTTAGTCTCCAAACGTTAGTCATAAAATATATTCTTCTCTTGGCGAGTTTTTGGAAGCGGGAATGGGAAGGGTGACCCTAGTTATCCCCCTAGCCTCATATAACCTGTATCTGAGATCAATTCCCGATCAAATACTAATCCACTTATGTTATATAAATGCTGACAACACATGTCAAACAACCACGGAGACAGTCTAAATAATACATTGTGACGAAAATCTATAAAAGACAACGATTTTTTTGGGGGAAGAAAAGCCCATTTTAATGACCATAAGGGCACTCCTTTTTTTGATTAGCCTGGAATGCATTTCCTGATTTTGGTTTGGTTAGTTTTGGAATAGGAGGCCCGGTCGGCCCGTTGGGGGTACCCCCCTACAGGGCTCCGCCCAAAACAGGGCACCATTCTCACGCTTCAGATATTTGAAAGCGAAGGAATATCACTAGGAGTAGGGAAAGGGTATGGAAATCCGTCATTTCGGTCTGTGAAAAGGCCGAGATTAAAGGGCTAACAGGTGGATTTTATGACTGAAAAGTCGAGAAAACATTCCGTGGCTTTGTGATTTATTCCAATTTTAAAGACAGTGCATTTACAGCATTTAGATAGCGTTTGTGATTTAAGTAGTGAATTCGAAATTTTAAGGCTATTGTAGGACGGTAACTTTAAATATTTCCACCGCGCTAACACACACACACAAAAATCATTTCCTTATTTCAGGGCAATACTGCGGCTGTAACTCAAAGAAACCTGCCAATCATTGTACTGAAATTGACAGTTCTCACGGGAATCACATGGCTTCTGGGATTTGCATTGGCTTTCTATCCAACGCCGTATTTGGAATATCCCTACGTCGTCATAAACAGCTTCCAAGGTGAGTATGGTATTAAAGGAGTGTTTCACCAGGATGTTGCTGTTTTAGGTCAAATCTGAGCTGAAGACTGAAGTTATTACTTATTGCCTCTCTGTATCTCAGGGCACTTAAGGCATGACTATCTAATTAAATATGCATATTTTGTTAAATGCTATTTAGAACGGTTTGCTTCCATCAGTGCTCCTGAAAAGTGAGCTTCATATGTGGCTCAAAGAAAAAAACACGTGACAGGCGATTTCAAATAACAGGTGACATTGCTTCGTCAATGACGTCACAAAACACGTTTTCCTAAACGGGGAAGGGTTGCAAACCTTAATCTTAGGAATTTTCACAACCAAAATGTTACATAATCTGTGCATGTAAATCGTAAATTCGCCTTGTACGATTGGAAATGTTATTTATCCTATTAGTTATTTAACTGATTAATAAGTCACGTGACCCTTTTCCCTTTATTTACCAATTCCTATATAACGTTAACACACATACAAGGCGAATTTTTAAGAACCTTTTTAGTATCCTCTGAAATGTACCTAAAAGAACTTGTTGCTCGTTCATTATCCTTTCCCCATTTTAGAGTAAATATTTTGACCATTAAGTCTCAATTATCAGTCACGTGACGAAAATCATTAAGCTACATTTGTAGTTCAATTTTAGGATCATTGATAGAAGCAAACCGTTCTAAATAGCATTTTATCAAAATATGCATATGTATTTAGATAGTCATGCCTTAAGTGGCCTGAGATACAAAAAAATTCTCCTGTAAGGTTAGGAAGAAGACATCAAACTAGTGTTACCAAGGAGCATTAACCCCAATCATTTGTTGGGTAATTTTTACAGGAATAACATTAAACCGTGGCTTCTTTTCTTGTTTTAATTTTACTATTTATTTTTGCTCTGGCTACCATGGGAACGCCCGAACTAAAACGTGGATTAGGTTTTTTCCTTCTGGCACAAATCGCCCTCTGGCTTCTTGAGAGCGAGCCATGCGCAAGATATGAGTATACGTAAAATAGGTCAGCGGACTAAAGCAGTGTACATGGCCACTTGCCCCATCTGTCTTCGGTGTATTAAACTCACTGATTGCAAGCATGAATGATGTTATTTCCTATACGCAATTTTTTATACCAAATGCACACGCTGTTCCTCTCGAGACCTACAGTAAAAGATAGCGAGCGAACGGTTCGGTTCAATTTACTGACTTTAAAAAACTCTTCCAATTTGTGGCTGCAGAGTGGAGAAGTAGCGTTAATTTATTAAGAAGTTTTTTTTTTCCTTCTTTCTGGATAGGCTTTCTGATCTGCGTCATCTTTGTCTTTCGAAAGCCTATCATTAAACTCTTCAAACAGAGATTCGCTATGGAAACACACCCCGCACCGACAACGAGCGCTTGTAAACAACCAACGAGCCGAAGCCAACAACCAGCGAATACAGCTGAGCAACGAACGAGTGGAGCCGAACAAGCAACGAATAAAGTAGAAGAACAAACGTATGAAGCCGAAAAGACATGCCCGAGGGGAGCTGGACAACCAGTGGAAGAAGCCGAACAATCTTTGGACGCAAACGAGCAAGTGATCAGCGGAACATTGCAGGCAAACTTTGGAGCCCAGCAGGCATAAAACCCACGTAGCTACCGTTTTTTTCTCGCTGTTGTTTAAATTTATCCGTTTAGTGCAACAATTATTTGAAGAAATTCGTGTATATCCCTCAAGAATGGCAACCAGATTCTTGTTTGTTCACCTGCAAAAATTGCTAACGTCCTTGTTCATCGGAAAGCAAGCCACGAACGATAACTCTAGTTTGACTTTCTTTGCAAAATAATCTTAACTATAACTAAAGAGGTCTATTACTACTTGTACCAAGAAAGAACGATGACAGCTTTCCTCATCCTCTTGCTTATACCTGTAGGCAACATGTTCCTGGTGAAAAAGTATTTTTCCTGCTATGCCCCCTCGGCCTCTTCTCTGGGTGATGGGTGGAAGTTTTCAGATAACCGGTGATTTTCACTCAGGGGATACTCCCCAATATGAACTATTTTGGTTTGTGAGGTGCCCCTTTTGGTCTGAAGCTGTGTATAGATTTTGACCATTTAGGTCTGAAATAGGCTGTGGTTTTGTCCTCGCTGGAACAGGCCTGGTTTCTTGGGTATGCTCTTTATTTATTTATTTGTGAATTTACTATTTTTTACCTTCTCGCCTCTTGAAAACAGTGTTTCAGGTCTGAGATAGCAAAAGGGAAATTACATAGTTCGGAGTGAAATCGTGTAGAGGTTTGAGGAAACACGCCCCTCGCACCTCACTCTCACAGGACCAGAAAGTGAGGAACTAGTCTTCACATTTTCCTCTACATCAGAGGTAGTGATCGCTTAGGTTACCGTAAATGATATAGTAGAGTAGATAAAACCGGGGCATTTATTTAGTTTTAGGTGTCCAAGAGGGGGCGTTTAATAGATAGGAGACGGTTATTATCATGGCTGTAGCAATCTCTACAAAACTAATACAATTTCAGAGAAAATGTCAAGGGAGTTTTCGAATAGCAGAATATCAAGTCGTCTAGATTCATATCTCTCTAACTTTCAAATCTCAACTTCGATGGCAGTCCTCGTTCAGGGTCATCGCGTTGTTATCGTTGGTCTATCCTTACTTTGAACTTGATATAGAATACGATGCAATGCGAAAACCCTATTCATTGAAGAAAAAAACTGCATAAATTGAACTATTTTGGTCCTTTTTGCTATTTGTATTGTGGGGGGCGTCTCGTACAAACTTAACATTTTAAGGGGGACGTTTATAGTTAGACAGGAGGTTTTTATTGGAGAAGGGGCGTCTATAAGATCAGTTACGGTTTATGTTGAAGACGCTTTGGCCCGTTAATAGGGCTCTCGTGTAGAATACGGGGAGAATAGAAGCTAGAAACGCGCGATAAAAAGATAGGAGAACCTTTTCACAACTTAAAGAAGAGTCTTCCCAACCTATGCAGCAAGAAACAAATCGTGCTTTCACCTCAGTTTCTGCTGGTTGTTCGTCCTCGACCTTTTTGTCGTTTGAAAGTTGGAACATGGAGCAAGAGAAAAATGCTTAGTTTACATCGCTATACAATTCCTACTTTGCGCTTCCGCAAAACCGCCCCCACCACCTTTATCGATTCTTTTATTTCCACTTCACATGATGCTAAGTAATACCGTAAAATTCCGAAAATAAGCCCCTCCATGTATAAGCCCCTCCAAATATAAGCCCCCTAAACCGGTAACGCAAAAAACCGTCTGTTAAATCGCCCCTCCAAATATAAGTCCCCTGGGGGCTTGTACTTGGAAAATTGCCCTCAAATACAAAGTAAAACAAAGAAAAAACGGTAAATTTCCTTCCAACTATAAGACTAGCTCAATCGATTTGGAAACGCAAATTTCCCTCCGTAGATAAGGCCCTCCGAATATAAGCCCCTCCAAAAATAAGCCCCTCAAAAAGGGCCTTTGAAAAATATAAGCCCCGGGGCTTATTTTCGGAATTTTACGGCAGTATATTATTCTCAAGAGGTACTCTCTTGTATATACTTTGTTAGCGCACATATTGCAAAGAGAGTCCAAACATGGTTAACTTATTTCTGGATTCCAGGTACTGGATTCCAGTATTTGTCAGTGGAACTTGGATTCTGGATTTCAATCCTTAGTATGACTCCAGATTCCTTAAGCTGAATTCCATATTTCTCTTCTTCTTATCTCGGAAACCGGGCTTAAATTTCTCATATGAACCCAAGGTGAAAGTGGTCCCGGTAGGTGCCTGCTCAACCGGGCTCACGTGAAGAGGCCCTTAATTATACTTATTATTCTTTCAAAATATTTCCCCGATTCTGATTGGCTAAAAGCACACTCATAATTCACCATAACCAGTTTCTGATGACCAAATTTGGAAGAATTTTGTGCTTAACGAGGAAATGACGTCAAAAATGCAGCCCTCTACAGGTTGAGGCACCGTTAACAGAGAAGACCTGGGGACGAGGTTGAGTTGTGTTGGTTGTGAAATGGCGGACATTTCACTAGTTTCAAGAGTAAGAACTGGTCGTCACTTGTTTCCATCCGCCAAACTGACGTGACGTCATCTGATCTCCGGTGAACATCTTCGGTTTACGCGTCGGCTTCCTATCGTAAACACAAATATGGCGGCCACTGTCTGGGCTAGACTGATATATGCTTGTCAGTATACCACTCAAACTAGCGAATGAAGTGAGATTATGTTTGCCAGGATTTACCTAACCGATCTACCTTGTGTTGTTTGGTTAAAAGGCAGATCTTAAGAGAAGGTAGGCCCGAGAAGGTATGATGCGAAAGCTACTATTGACATTTATAGTTTACGTTCAGAAAGTGGCAAGGAAAGACTTAAGCTTAAATTACTTTTTATCGAGCTCACTTCTAAAAGCGTTTCATATGGAGAGTATTCTATATAGAAAAAGATATTTCTGGTTTATCAGCTTAATTCTCAAGCGACGTCATTTTGGTGGATGGACAAGGTTCCATCTATCAAACTGACGTGACAAATGTTGAAATTAACAAACCTTTCTATCATTGTGTCGTTACAGAGTTTTCATGGAAATAGTCTATGGCATTACACGCCCAATAACTGCAGATTCTGTTAATTTTTCATGTATTTGGAGCTACATGTAATAAGAAACTTACACTTTAAGTACTGACTGCATTTATTTCGCTATTAACTTTATTCAGGGGCACCCAACGACAATTTTTGGAAAATATCTGTTCAGAAGACGATTTGAGATCTAGAATTTTCGGAACATTTGTTGTAAAACTCCTTGCTTCCCTGCCTCTCCTAGGATTTTCTAACATCTAAAAATGGTATAATTGCCCATTTTTGACTGATTTTTACCCTAAAAAGGTCATCTATAATTTTTGGGGAGCCTTTTTTCTGGCTGAAATTTTCGAAAAGGTAAGTTTCGATCCCTATAATTTTTGGATCACTAGACTTTGAGCTAGGAAATCTAAACAGATGAAAAATTTTGGGGGGATAAAAATATGCCTATATCTACTGTTTAAATACTAAAAATAAAAATACGTTTAACAATGCTATGTTTAAGTGGTTTTGAACTATATTCTCGTTGGGTGCCCCTGTTTAGTCATGATATACATGTAATTTGCATGATTTTAAGAATATCGCAACTACGTGTAACCTAAAAACTTAGTTGTAATCTTTTCTTAACATGACGGTAAATAGTAAACAAGGAAAAATATCAAGCCAACTGTCATCAACCAGCTAGTATGCTGCAACTGTTAAACTGTAATGAGACTTCTCAACTGGAAATGGTCAAAGAAAGTTTCATTTGACATATTATTATAACCTTCACAGTTCTACTTAGTTAATTTTATGATTGCAGTATTGTGATGCCTCAGTTTATTAAAACCTACCATCCATAACATTTATGGTCAGTATTATGCTCATAATTCTAAGCAAAATTAATATACATGTAACGTTCATTTGCCGACAGGTATTTCACAAAACAGGAATTATATACAATGTTTGTAACACACACATGCCAACTATATATCACAGCTTATTATCTAAAACTACCACTGGTAACAAAATGAGTACTGGTATATGAAGATCATTATGAAATGTGGAGTCCAAATTCTGAGCTACATGTAACACATCTTTGTATTTGCCCAACAATTGGAGAGCTCAAAAGTACTACCATAATATCATCAGTAGTTGCCATAGAGATGGTGTGTGTTAATCAGTAATACCCATTTTTCAGCTTCTCGCTCTTATAACTTGAAACTTCGTCCAATGCCCCAAATTTTGTATGGTGTTATTTCACTAAGCAGGAAAACAAGTATGTTAACAAAATTTGACAAAATATTGAAAAACAGGTTCTGGGAGAAGATTTTCTAGAACTACCAAATGGCATAGATTTCAATAAGGAAAATGTACAGTTTTCTCAAAACAGCACTTTTGTTTTGATGGTGAAAAGCAATGGTATCAAACAATCAGTGGCTTACTCGCTATTCCTCTAGACATAAAACTATACCACAGCAACAGTATAACTTGTCAAAAACACCTTTAAATACTTATCACGTGAAAACAAGTTAGGTGACCCCCATTGTTTATTACACTGAATAGAAATTCATTAGTGAAGATACAGCCTTTTGTTTAAGCTAGCAGGGGATTCAGAAGCACCTTAAGATTTTGGAAAACTTAACGTGTAACCTGATGCTAAAAATTTTTGAACTTTTCAATTAGTTTTAAGTTGACATTCTGATTATTTCAACAATAAAAAATGGGGCTCATTTTGAGTTAAAAGCACATGTTGGAGGCCAGGCATTCCATGATAGTACTTAGCAAAACTTTTGTTAGCCACTTTAAGCAGGTTAATTTCTTGAGGAAGATGCAACTTTTGCATCCTCTTCGCATTTGTTGCATCTCCACTTACGGTTGCTGTTTATTGCCCAGGCTGGTATTTTAACACAGGTGGGATGATACCATTTTTTGCAATTTCCATTGCTGCACTGAACATATTCTTCTCTGTCATATGGTAGCCTACACACACAGTAAATAGCAACAGATGACTTGATACTGCCCAAGTAACGTGGCACTCTCTTTTCAGTTTTGGGGAATGGTGACATGGCTCCATTTTCTAGGCAGGTGACATAATGCTGTCGCATAGATCCTTGGTTATACTTCTGATTTGTGGGATCTATACCATGACACAAATCAGTTGCAAATGCCAGCGAAAACAGACCACAGTCACTACCTCCAACTTGTCGCTGGACTTTCTCATTGATAAAGGTGACTTTGTCTCCAGGATACATGAACATGCGACAGGCATGCTCTACTGCTGTTGAATTAGTATTCTGATAAAGGCTATCGAAAATCTTGACAGTGTCGGGACTGGATGTTGTTGAAATTGTACTTAGACACACCCAGTGGTTCCCAGTATTGATGATCTGAATGAACTCTGATGTTGCAGGGACAACAAGGGACCCTTTTATTGGTGGATCACATAGCCCGTCCACGAAGGGATAATCCCTCTTGAGGAGCATTTGCCCTGCATGGATTTCAGAATCCGAGAGCCAGGTGGTCTTCTGTAAAATTCTTGTCTTGTTTTCTATATACAGATTAAGTTTGTAATTTGGATCCTCAGGGTCACAATTTTCTATTGTCAACCATGATGGAGGATCAGGAGAATTTTCGTCAATTATAATAGGTCCTGGAGTAGATTTGTTTGAAGGAGTACTTGAGTCACCAAATTGACCATTGCTGACAGCTGATGATGGACTGTTGCTGACTGCTGATGATGGACTGTTGCTGACTGCCGATGATGGACTGTTGCTGACTGTTGATGATGGACTGTTGCTGACTGCTGATGATGGATTGTTGCTGACTTTTGATGATGGACTGTCGCCAACTGCTGATGATGGACTGTTGCTGACTTTTGATGATGGACTGTTGCCAACTGCTGATGATGGACTGTTGCTGACTGCTGATGATGAACTGTTGCTGACTGCCGATGATGGACTGTTGCTGACTGTTGATGATGGACTGTTGCTGACTGCTGATGATGGACTGTTGCTGACTTTTGATGATGGACTGTTGCCAACTGCTGATGATGGACTGTTGCTGACTGCTGATGATGGACTGTTGCTGACTGTTGTTGATGGACTGTTGCTGACTGCTGATGATGGACTGTTGCTGACTGTTGATGATTGACTGTTGCTGACTGCCAATGAGAATACCGGTATTTCTTTCTGCAAAGGTTGGTCTTCTGAATTTGGGTGTTGAGTGTTAGTTGGAGGGGTATCAGTTCTCTCCTGAGCAGCGGATGGATCATTGCTTGTTTTAGTTTCATTTTGGACAAGGTGGTTCTGTTCTTCTGTGCGTTGTTTCTTTGGTGGAGAAGGATGTTTGGATTCTTTGTGCAATTCTTTCTTTCTTTTGAGAGAACTTTTTGTTTTGGATGTCTTGACTGACACTCCATCAACAGGGATTTGCACTTTATAGTGTTTTTGCATCATGGATGCAAATTCTCCAACTCTGTTGTGAAACCTTTTTTTCTTGGGGCGCACAGGTAGTGGCAGGTAATTTCCAAAAGATGATTTGAGTTGTTTCTTGCCAGATTGTTTTTTAATCAACGTTTGTTTTTGTAACGAGTTTTCCTTTTCATCAGTTGTTTGAAAGGTTGTGAACTTAATTAGTAACATTTCAAGGGAACTGTTGAGTTCTTTGAGGGCACTTACATCTTCAATGTTGTATGTCAATGATGTTAGCCCTTTAAGCTTCTCCCTACATGTTACTGCCTCTTGCCTGATTTGACTTTCAATGCCTTTGACTTTCTGGTTTGGGACACCTGCTTTGCCATCTTGCTGATTTCCTGGTACGTCTTGACCAATCTGAATGTTGTGATTTTCTTCACCACTTTTATACTTAGTGAAATCAGCAAACACATGCTCCCTGTCTAGTGAGAGATGGGGGTTTTCACGATATTTTTCTGGCAATGAACCCCACTGCCATTTTGGGTAATGGTCGAAAATTGCAAAAAAATGCTTGCATAGGAGCCCTGTGTGGCAAAAATCCGGACAGCTACATCGTGGCATGACATCCCCAGCACCAAAAGACAGGCTGTACCATGTGTTGCTTGACTGTGATTGCACTTGGAACTGACCATCTTCTATGCCATTACAAACCTCCTTGATATGCTGGGGTTCTACTTCAACAGCAGATATTATGCGCTGCCTGCAGTGGTTCACAAATGGTCTTGGTTTATTGTGCAAGTATTTTGGCACATCTGAGCTGTAGCGCCTGTATCCTTCACTGCACCTTGTGTTAAGCTCCACATACCTGGGAAAAAAGCAGCTTCTTAATGAATTGTTAATAATTATGCAGTGATATTTGAGTTGCATATGTTGTAGAATCTTTGCATTAATCCCTACTTTAACTTTAAGCTTTTGAATTTTTGAATGTGGGATGTACTGTACCTTCTGTATTTGTCGGGTAGAAATTCCTCGATTAGTGTCGTAACCATTCCACTGAGGCTGTTGTTATTTCGATCCTTCAGGTACTGGTATTTCAAGGACTCATTCTGTCTCTCAATGCAATTGTTAGTGTTGATACTCAACATGAATCGGTCCTGTCTGAATGCCCACACCCATCGCTGTAATAAAAAGCAAATTACAGAGAATTTAAACTTTTAAGTGAACTGGTCCTTGCTGCATGCTAACAGCTCACTTCATCAATATTTATTATTTACATGAATATGTTAGACAGGCGTGTTATTTACCTGTATGTCAGGCAAAGGAGGACATGGGCTTGCAGAGGTAAGCTTTCGTTCTTATACAGTTCGAACCCTAATAAGCAGCCACCCTTGGGGAAATGGATAGTGGCCGCTTAAATAGAGGTAAAAAACAATTTAAAAACCCCCTCATGGGAGCTTTGATTACTGGGCGAGTAATACGGGTTGGCCGTTTAATAGGTGACCAGTTAATAATTAGTAATTATAATAATAATTTTTTTAAAATAATACAACTCTAATAATAATAATAAATTTATTTCAGTGTCAATGCATTTAGCTGGATAGGGGTTCAACTGTGTATATTGCATGCAATATACTTCTAGACCCCTTTCAGTTTATTTCCAATTTGGAGGGCAAAACAATAAGATTGCCTTGCATTTGAAAAGGTTTTTTCTCTCAGAAGAGAGAACAACCATTGTTTTGTCCTCCAGATTGGGAGTTACGGGAAGGAGTCTATTGCAGACAAGTATAAAACTGTGTGCTGTGTGCTTTATTTCAATTCTTACCTTAGACTCTACAAGCCATGTTTTTTCAAACCAATTCCTGAGCTTGGGATTAGCCAGCCAAACTGCACTCTCCTTAAGGGAAGACAAATTTTTTTCAAATGACTCTTTTGTTGGTGATTTTGCCACGTTGCGAAGCAATGTTAGGACCTCTTCCCTGCTGTCAGTCTACCCATTTTCAGACTTTCGTAGCCATCTTTCCCAGCACTGTTCGCGGTGAAAGTCACAAATATATGTAGTGGTATCTGTTAAACCAAATTAGAATGTGAATCTTTTTGTACATTCTATTTTTAATATTATAATAGTGTGTTGTCATTTGAGAGAAGATAAAGCACTATGATGGATATACTGATACCTCGTATGGCATCAACCTAAGCTTGACTTTAAGGTTTCGCCCTCTAGGAAGTATCCAGATTTGTAACTGAATACCTAAAGTCATATTTAATTTGGCCTGGTTTTCCAGTCACTAGGGAGGATCAAGGTTAACTTACAATTTTATAGAAATTGTTACTTATTCCTTCAAAATCTTGTTTGCCTACATGTACTGGAATACTTGAATGGCAAGCTGTAAAAATGATTTTCTTTGCACCCTGCTTGAATGTACAAGTCTTTATTTACATTTAGTTTCTCACTTTGAGAATATTGGCCCAATGTTGAATCATCCGTACCTGTGAATGTGTTCTCAATTGCATGGATCTCTTCATGACAAAAGTCAGTCATGAAAAATTGGGGCTTCCAGCTGGCATTCCAATCGTGGAAGATTCCTAGTGCTTCCTGTATGGAGGCTGTAGTTTCCCGTTGAATTATGAAAGACCCCACAACTATGTAATTTACATTTGTCTTTACCACTAGGAAAAATAGAGGGAGTTCATATCTCATTGTCTTGTAGGTTGCATCAAGGAGGGTGATCTCATTTCCGTAACGGATCATGAGTTGCTTTTGCCAGGCTGTTTGATGAGCAAACAAAAGATCATCTCGAACACAATTTTGATCTGTTTCCTCATTGTTCATGCTTTCAGAAGCTGTTGATGAGGCTGATAGGGCACAGGGTCTAAAATAGAAAGAGTCTTGTGGGTTCTCCTGACACCAATTTTCAATTTTCTTTTCAAGGTTTTCCTGATCAGATTTGGACAGGATTTTTTTTACTGATGCCTGATACATGTGGTTCCTGATGTCCACATCTGTTGGATAATAGCGCCTGTTTGTTGATGCTGGTGGAGATTGCCCTGGAAATAGTTCAGTTTTTACGAATTGCCTAAGATGTCTTCAATTCGTCCACAGTTTTCACACCTTCGCCAACAAGCTCTCCAATCTTGTCTACAAGCCGTTTGTCGATGGGCTGCAGAATGCCACCAATCTGGTTGTTTGATACATGAGGAGAAAAATGAAAATGGAATTTCTTTTTTGACAGAAATATTTTGACAGCCATGCTGATAGTTGTAGGCACTGCTGGTACAATGTACACTTACATGTAATGAATGAAATGTCAGTGACATAATTTGTTTTTTGAATGTTGTTGTTGACAGAAGTGACTCACTTCTGTCAACAACAACATTCAAAAAACAAATTATTTGGATAGAATAGCAACAAATCAGTTGAAATAATAATTCCTAGACAATTTTGTTTATTTTTTATCAGCTTCTATTTTAGTCCTAGACACTACTTGGACCTTTTTTCATGATCATTACTTCATTTACAGACCTAGGCTATGATTGTTAACACTACATAGCATGTAGCCACCCATACACCTGTTGTACTTTGTGACCTAGCCTTTGAGTGGAAGGTCTGACTTGACTTTCTTTCACATGCCTTCTTGCCTTTTCATAGGAAAGTAATACCTGTCCGAAACTATAATTACCATAATGATTTATACATGAAAAACTAGAAGGTTTATATGAAAATGACTCAACTCTTGTCCCACCCATTCAAAGTGTTTTTCCCTAAGCCTTCAACTATTACTCAAACAAAAAGAGCCAAAAACAAAAGTTAATATTATTGTTCTCAAGTTAAGGTAGTGTCCCAGTTCTTTCCATTGACATCAACAGACCTCTCCAGTGATGTGATCTTTGTGTTCATCCTCCTTTGGTAATTGGATATAAATTCTGCGTTCCACTTGGGGTTTCTGTCCGCTGGTTATATCAGTCTTCAGCTTTTTGGACATGTCCCTTCTTAGTCTTTCTGTGTCATCCCTGATCTAATAGAGTTAAAAGACAGTAATAAGTTATGAAATGAAGGGATGTATTTTACTGAGCGGAAGTATAATGTCAATTGCTATTATCAGTATTGTGATGGTGGTTTTGTACCTTGTAATTGCAATACTTTATGACTTCTGATAAACGAATACTTGCAGGGCAGCCAAACTTCATTGTGTCTTGAGGTAGAAACCTCCTCCTTTTGAATGAGTGATCATCAACCTGTAGTTAGAAGATTAATATTATAGATTCCTTACAGTTTAGTGCTAAAAGCACCAAAAAGGCTGTGGCTGTGAAGTAAAAATGCAGATATTTTTTAGTCATAACCAACATACCTTCTCTTCAGAATGTCTCGCTTTAAATGACTTTTTCCTGTCTGGTCCATGTTGGCAGTCAAATACCTTGGTGCCAATTATACTGAATGGTACTCCATCAAATGGAATTTTGTCATCTTTGAAATAGACTTTTCTTTGCTTGGCAAAGGGATCTGTGTCATGGAAACAAGGAAAGTCTGTATTATGTTTATTAGGGCTGTACTCTAGCAGTCCTCAGAGGCCCCTGGTGATTTACTGTTGCTTTTCGGCAAGAAGGCAATCTTAGTTTTTGCCCAAAATTACTATGCTGGGCAGCCAGAATGTCAAAGGTTTAGTGTTTTGGGCTCCCCGAATTTTTTTTCTTAGAGCATAGCCTTGTTTATTATAATTTTGATTGTAATCTGGTATGCAACCTACACCACAGTCAAGCCAATGTATTACATGCACCCTTTGCAGATAGTACTCAGTCAAACATAGATTTCAAGATACCGTAAGCCCCTCCAAATATAAGCCCCCCAAACTGGTAACGCTAAAAACCCTCCGTAAAATCGCCCCTCCAAATATAAGCCCCCCGGGGGCTTGTACTTGGAAAATTGCCCTCAAATACAAAATAAAACAAAGCAAAAACGGTAAATTTACTTCCAACTATAAGGTTAGCCCAATCGATTTTGAAACGCAAATTTCCCTCCGTATATAAGCCCCTCCGAATATAAGCCCCTCTAAAAACAAGCCCCTCAAAAAGGGCCTTTGAAAAATATTAGCCCCGGGGCTTATTTTCGGAATTTTACGGTATTTCATGTCTTTGATTCATAAATTGTTCATGCCATGAATACCACTGTGTTTAGAATATGCACATTCTACTCCAGCATATTTCTCCCCCAACAAAAGAAAAATTTCTAAGATCACAGCATTGTTTATTATAATCTTTTGATTGTAATCTGGTGTGCAAGCTACACCGCATTCTACTCCAGCATTCTTAACCCTATTATGTTACACTGCACTGCTAAAATCATAGCTGCTGATAACCAATCAGATTCAAGAATTTTTTTATGACCAACTTATTGTTTATGCACTTATCAACTGAAATCCCCCCTCCCCCACCCCCAGGACAGGGTGGGAATTTGACTTCATGTCAACTACAATGGTGATTAACCCCCATGAGGGGGCACTTAAACTTTTAAAGCCCCCACCTACAGTCCTGTAGGAGAAAAATAAAACGTGGCAAATCTTGAGAAATCCCCACCCCCCAACGGCAAAACATGCTGTCAAATTTTATCGAACACCCTTTGTTTTCCCACCTTGTCCCGGGGGTGGGGGGTCGGCTTTCAGTCGATAAGTGCATAATTTTGTTGCTTCATAATTATCTTACCTCCAGCACCAAACATTTTGTCTGATTTAAAACAAGAGAATTTTGTTGTTGTTTCCAGTTCATATTGTCTTATTACAGTCATGGCTTCCTCAACTGATCCAACATAGCCAACAAACTTGTTCGTTGATCCTCTTAACTTCGCTTGCCAAGTACATACAGTAGCACTGTCTTTCTCACTTTTTAAATATATGCCTTCAGCTGTGCCGCTACCTTCTTGGGCATTTGCCGGCAAAGCCATAACAAACGACTTGTGCTGAGTACTATAAACCGAGCAGTCAACTTCCAGATCTCATAAACTCGGAAACTTTATTATTTTCCTTTCGAAAATGCCCGCCAAACAACAATGCTTAGCGGGAAAATCTTCGGAATTCCGAGACAGGTTTTCGGTAAATTATCGTCAATTTTCGTGCGCGTTCGCCTGTTATTGAACGTCAGTTTCATGGATGGAAAGATACACTATCTGTCACGCCATCCATCAAACTGACGTTCTCCACTGTGGCAAGCTTTAAGGGTATAAAGTAGCTTTACCCTTGTCCACTTTACCCTAAGTTTTCAAAGGTTTATTGAAAAAAATCAGGACCCTGCTTTATGTGCACAGAAAAACACAAATAATCTGCTGGACACACGTGGACCCGCAAAAGATCATCCGCCATATTAGTTTTTACGATAGGAAGCCGGCGCGTAAACCGAAGATGTTCACCGGAGATCAGATGACGTCACGTCAGTTTGGCGGATGGAAACAAGTGACGACCGTAAGAACTAGGCGAAAACATAGCTAAAAACATGGCAAGAACAGCAAGAAGACAATTCGAAGGGCGACATCTGCTATTTGGAGAATATTTGCGGAGCTGGACAAACCTAAACGTGCACTATCGAATCGAACATGAACTTAACATCGATGGATCGATGGAGGTAAGCATGTTTTAGCCATGTTTTTAAACTAGGAATTATTTTGAATGAATAATAAAACAATTATTGAATTCGGCTTTCGTATCATATGAAGAATTATGGAGATCTCGGAGGGTGTTATCCGCCTCGGCCAACGGCCTCGACGGATAACACTCTCCTCGATCTCCATAATTCTTCATAGTATGATACTCAGCCTCAGTCATTAATTGTTAAATATCAAATATATACCATATTTATATGGAAAGTTTTATTACTGTTCATGCTTGTATTACAGGGCGTTACCAATCGATGAAACCGATGATCGGAAAATCAATCGATCAATCGATGACAATCGATGCCAATTAATCGATTGATATCGATAATCGATGAACAATCGATGCTCGGGTTTTATGTGATTATCGATTTCATCGATTATCAATTCTTATCGATTATCAATGCCAATCGATCAGTTAATTGTCATCGATTGGTTTTCATTTTTTGTGCGTTTTATTTTCAGTCAAGATTTCCAAAATCACGGTCTCTTTATGCATTTTAATGATGAAAACTGCGATAAAACTTTAATTTTTTTCACAACGGTGATTGATACATCGCGGAGAACATGGGCATACGATTTTATGACAATATCAATTTTCGATTAGGCGCATCAAATTGATGAATTGTGATGAAACTGTGATCAAAGAAGATTAATGGTCGTCGCTTTAAAATTGAATACCACCCAATGTTTCAGAACCGTCGCCGAATGGCAAAGAATAACCAATATACGCCAGGACAATTAAGCCTGCAGTGAACTATATTCATTTTTTGCCCTGTTTACTTTGTGCACCTTTGTTGTGACAAACAAGTAATAAAGTGATTGCTGAAGCCTATCCACGTTGTTTCTGGTTTATTTTATTACAGTTCAGTATAATTACATCACCCACACACCACATTCAGAGCTGACTCGTCCCCAGGCGTCTCTCCATCGCCAGACTAAGAGACGGCAGGGAAAGATGTCAGCATTCTCGCAGTTCGTCTAGATATCTTTAAACACATAACACTACACTTAATTATTCTCAGAAATTTTACACGGATAAATCAGATAATGATAATTTCATCTTGCACGGCGTGTGGACAGGACCTGTTGGAAAAATAGGAAATAGTGGAAATATAAAATTCCTAAAAATTCATATCAACCAGATATCAACAGTATAAAGGATAGCGAAAGGAACAGCTAAGCGAAAAGGTGTGTTGTTGACTTGCCATTCTTCAAAACACTGTTTCAAAGCGTGTTTCTGTTGTTGATTTTTGAAACCATGCAACAGCATACAAACAATCCGGTGAACGAATTCAAACGTCAAACATTTGTGCGTACTGCGAGTGCGTATACGTACAGGCTGGAACGTGTGGGATACCGAGATTTTTTCAACGCCAATCGATGACAATCGATGAGTTGCGACCACTTTTGTGTGATTATCGATTGGTCATCGATTGGCCGATGCCAATCGATCCCAATTAACTAACAAGGCATCGATTATCATCGATTGATCGATTGATTTTCCGATCATCGGTTTCATCGATTGGTAACGCCCTGTTGTATTACCGTACGATTTAAAGGAGTCCCTCATAAGGTAGCATTAAGAAATAATGTCTTCAATAAAGTGTACTGAATGAAACTTCTAACCTGGCCAAGGAACGATGTGTCTTAAATCCTTAGCTATCCTCATGCACAAGAATCCCGATATTTTTGAAACCGTTCTTTTTTTACACGAATCGGCGTTCTTTATACAAGAAACCAATGAATCTGCTCTCCGGAATCGTATCTGCAAGCCTTCGTTTTTCCGATTCCAGATAAGAAATATGCGGATTCAGAAATGTCCGGATTCCTGTGGATTGGGCCTCAATCTTCCAAATGGTGACAAACACGAGGTACACAGCTAATCAAAACGGCTTGGAATCTCTCTATCTCGAAATCTGCCTCGTCCCCAATTGCTCGTAGTCGCTTATCCGAGGATATAGAAAAATGAACTGGATATGTTTTTTATCTCTTCGCTATCATGAGAAAATACTGAGAAATCTTATATATTGATCTGAGTGAATTTTGCCTTCAGGTAAGGTAAAACGGGCAACAAAGGCGTAGAACTTGTTTTGCAACATTGCTGCAGAATGAGTTGAATAGCGATGGTGCGTGGTTTACCACACACGTTCAAACCTGTCTTGCAACAAATTAGCCTGCGAGAGCATCCGGTTTTTTCGAAGCGACGACCGGAAATACGTCTGCAAATCAGGTTGTTGCAAAGGCTGTGTTACTAGATAGCTTTTGGTGCTGATACGGAAAGCTGTCCGATATTAGCCACTTTGAGGTTGCGCGGGATGCCGGGTCGAGATGTTGTCAAAGTGCATTGTAGGACTATTTTGGGGGACGTATATTTAACATGGCGGCAAATTCGTCCCTTTAAAACAGTCCCATAATGCACTTTCACAACCATCTCGACCCAGTCTCCCGCGCAACCTCAAAGTAGCTAATAAGTATGGACAGTAAGGACACAGAACTGGATCAAGTCGTTCACACACATCGAACATCGTGCGAGAGCGGTTGGCTGAGAGGATTTGTTTTAGTCCGGGGGGGGAGGTACCTAACAAATGGTTATACGGGGAGGCTCCACCCCGAGGTCCAACCCCTTACCCTTTTGTATACCATTTTTCACAGAAAAGGTACTCGGCCCCTTTCATATAACTTTGTATCCCTTTAACTGCTGTAAATGCACTGTCTTTTGAATATGAATAAAAAAGTAGAACGTTTTCTCGACTTTTTAAAGCCATAAAATTCATCTTTTAGCCCATTTGGGCTCGTTTTATATACTTCAACGAGTGAAATCACACCCTTTCATATACCTGAAGCCTGAAGATTCACGGAGGCAAACAGGACGCCAAAAGTGGTCAAAAAGTGGCCACTTAGGAACTACTTTATTTTGCAGTTTTTATCAGTTTGAGCTAAAAGGTCAGTTGCAGGATGGTAGTACTTTGTATTCCAAACAATCGTATGTTTTTTTTGTTTTTCGATTTTAACTGTTTTTGGTGGGAAAATGACGTCACAAGATTGACAGCGAGATTTAAATTTCAACTAATGGCGTAACAAATAGGTAATTTTCCAAGTGCGTGACGAGATAGAAACAGATGTGAAAAACACTTTTGAAAAACTCATTTACTTTAAGAAATGTAGCATTTTGAAATTTGCTTTTGTTTCTAAAAATAGTAACAAAATGGCTGGAAATTCAAAAATCAAGGCTTAATTGAGCTTTTCAAAAAAAAATTCACATTTGTTTCTATCTCGTCAAGCTCTTTCAAATTATTTATTTGTTTCGCCATTAGTTGAAATTTAAATTTTGCTGTCAAGCTTCGCAAGTGGCCACTTTTGGCTTCCTGTTTGCGTACCGTAAAAAGATGCCCCTTTCGGGCGGAGCTTCCCCGTATGGGCCATCATAGTGAGTACCCCCCGGGGGTTGTAGTGCTAATTGTGAATTTGGCGGAAAAAAGGCCATGCGGAATTTTGCTTCTAAGTCTTGCATGGATGCATAATTTCTGCATCTTTCGTATGTTTTGGAGTTACTCTACTGGATTTCTTCTGCAGCTTCCAGGCCTTTTGATAAAAATACCTCTTTTGAAGTGCAATATATTTTAGGGAATTGTTGGCTCTGTCCATTACCTTTTCTTTTTTATTATTGCAGATGTTTACTGCGAAAGTGTGTTTAGAATAAATATCACGGTTTATTTCATCAACTCTGATTTCGTTGTACTATCGGGGTACAGCTCCAATTGTTGTTTTGACTGCAGAACAGAAAGTTTCTGACCAAGATAGCATTTTTTAATTTGCCACGTGAATTGGAATGGGGCGTTTTTGACAGAATTTTAAAGTTTGGGCAAACACATTTTAGTTTAGGAAGCGTTTTGGAGGTCTTAGACGGGACTATAGAAAGTTTAAAACTATTTCCATTGAAACCTGCCCTTGATTGAGAAGTTTTAAAACAGCACTTAAGTGTATTTTTTGTTGTGCGCAATAAATTAATTAAAACCAATAATTTAAGTTATTGCCGACATCTATCTTCCCTTTTGCTAAAACACTAATTTTGAATGACGAACCAACACCGACGATCAGTCGGGCAGTCGGTCAGTCGGTCGAACAGTCTGTCATTTTAATATAGTCGAAAAAGTTGCGCATTTTCAAAGGGGTTACACCATGATTCTGGTCAAAAATTCCAAATATCTTTCGTACCTACTTTTCTGTAAAAAGACCTTGGTTTTTTCGTTTGACAATGTTGTTTTCTTAAAAGGAGGCTTTTTGGACGCTAAAAA